GTTTCAGACAGAGGGTGAAAAGAGGTGCTGCAGCACAGGCACTATGAGAGAAATGAAGACCTTTTAGAACATAAACGCATGGAAACATGTCCCAGTAGAGGCACACAATTATATAAGATACATACATAACCTGAAAATGAGCATAATAGGGCCCCTTTAACAGGATGAATATTCACCCACAATACAGCCTCTCATAACACTCAGCATCTCTGAAATGCGTCCTTGAAGAGAGGCAATGCAGTAAATATATGCAAGCTTGAAGAATTCATGAGACATAAAGTGTACGGTGCAAGATAATAAATGTGTTGTCTGATAAATGTGCTGCAATATTTTTGAAACAACACCTACTACATAGGAATAAAGAGGCTGCTCTAAATCCATGTATTTGTTACTTATTGATATATACACATTTGTATGATTCACGGAGCTCAGCAACATGCATCAAGTAGGATCTTCATGAATCTGCTGGTGAAATGCTGAAATGAAATGCAGCTGTAGAGTGCTTCTGAAGAGGGTGCCAAGAAATCAGGATGCTTAGATGGAATATCTAACAAAATGCACACAACCCCCTCTCTCTTATTAATCATATAATGAGTCCCTGTATAGTTCCTTGTATTCCACCTTGTCACATTATTTTACCGCCTATTGTGCCATGAAATGAAACCCATTTTCAAATCATTCTCCTTCTGATTTGATCAATGAAAACTGGTAAACGTGTGAGCCTCCTGAATGGCGTGTTTGAATATTTGAGCAGTACTCAATCAGACAACATTAGGCAGTGGTGGCGGTCCGCGCAATCTGAAATAATTACCAGCCGACAACAGACTACACTTGGGTGCTGCCTCCACGAGGACTCAGCATTTCAGAACCTACGTCTCACATGCTGTGATGAACAGCACCTAGAGAAACCTGCAGAGGAGAGGAAGACACCTACAGCTGTGTTTTGGGGGGAGGGGTAGCTGTCAGTGCAGTGGGGAGAATGTGTAATGTCTGGGGTGAATAAATCCCAACCACAGAGCCCACACTATTTATGTATTTGAAATAAGTCCCCGCCCCCACACCCTTTCAAATTTGCAGTGGCCTATTACCAAGCGATTGTATATAATTAGTAAGTCACTTCCAATTTATTTAGCCAGGATTTATTATGTACACCATCAATCATGAAACAAATAAAAACCCTATTTTATGCTTTTTTGGGTGAACTGCAAATTGGGAATATCCTCAAAATTGGAATAATAAATAAACCATGCAGGAAAATGACAGAATTTGGGTATGTGAGGTAGAACAATTTGCAAATGTCTGAGACCTTGAACATATATACGAATAGCAGGTAACATATTTGTGTTTCTTCACAGCAAAAGATTAAGGCTGGGCAATATAGTGATGTTATGACAATATTGTGATATGGATTATGGGTAATGTCTTAGATTTTGGATATCGTCATATGGGATAAGTGTCTTTTGGTGGCTTTGAGGGCTATCTCACATTAAACTGATGTCCTTTTCTAAACTTACCACGCTTTTCTATTTCTAACCTTTACACAATTAGTCATTATATCCACATCACTGATGATTGTTCTCAAACATATTTTTTTTTCACGGCATCATTTACGATATACTTTACTGTCCCCGTAAGGAAAACGGGGACAATAAATGTGTCCAATTAGCGTCAATCTCCTGTACATATTTTATGTAAAATCACCATTAGTCAATTCTAAAATATCATCACAACATCAATATTAAAGAAAAAGAAAATTGATTGATTTTCTCCAAATCGCCCAGCCATAGCTAGGGTTTAGACCTTCAGCACAATTTAAATTGACACCAAGCCAATTATCGGCCTTTCTTTTGTGTAATTGGGTTTTCTCTTGTCTCGAATGATCAGTGTTTTCCTCTGTGAGTGTCTTGGCTTCACTGTCTCTTGGGACAAGCCTGGCTGTTACTGTAGTGTCTTTAATGTGACAACACAGGAACAGGAAGGTAGCTATGTGACTCGATGAGTGTTTTGTGTATGGAATGGGTCACTAAGCGTACCGTACCATGTGACAGCCAGCCAGGCATATGTCTGTGCCAAAGTAGCGTCTGCAACTGAGACGCATTTACTTCCGCAGGGACTGGATGTGATTGACAGCTGGGCCTTAGGGTCCTTGGCTCCTTCCTGATTTTCGTTTTCACTAGAGGTGTCCTCTGGGACTTGGAATTGGTGCTACAGTATATCAGCTTATGGCTGTAATGAGAATGAAAAGCAAACTGAGCACCCAGCCGGTGTTCTTGCTCTATGCTGCTCTGAGTTTTGCAAACTGTCATTAAGTTTTAGCTAGCACCATGCATTTGATCTAGATTTGGCATTTAAAAACAAGTCACAACACTGTCTATATTTTACAATCCGGTGTAAATAAATTGGATAATTAAAAAGAGAAAATTGCTTAACCTGTTATCTACATCTCAGTGTGAATTATAAGTACGTTTATTTATTTTTTCATTCTTTATATCTGTAATCCAAAATGACACGATATTCATTCATTATTCATTTTCTTGGCACATATTTTAATTCTTCTCAAGAATGTTCTTTTATTTTTACATAGTTTAGTTTAATGGTTGTCACCCAAGGTACAAAATTGGCCTGCAGTAAGGCTTTTAACAAAAACAACATGTCATGAGTTATTAATGCAAAGCGGGAACAACTCATTGCAGGATCTTAATCTCTATTTTTAAACATGATTCCAGTGACGGCTCACAGTACAGTCGTTCCTGTTAAAGAAGTAGCCTTTGAATTGATATGTGGGATAACAGTTATGACAGAATTAGGAAGTTTTGAAGGTTTGACCTTTTAACTTATCAGCAGCTAGCTCATACCTCACATTGCAAAAGTATGTCTTTTCTAGGCATTGCTTGACAATTCTTGATGTCCTCGCTCCTTTGAGCATACAAGTACAGACATTCCTGCCGTTGAAAAATTAAAACACTTGTCCAACAGTGGAAGAATGCAAAAATAGAGTTTTATAAATGGAATTGTAATGACAAAAAGGTGTGTATGTTCCAGATAATAAAAGGGAATGTTTTGGCAGATTTCACCAGCTGTATTTCAGGGAAGCTGTCATAATACTTGGCTCTTTTTTAGTACTCTAGAGAAGTTGCACCCCTTATATTGATTCTTCTGCAGTAAAGTATGAAACGTGCAGTTTATTTTTCAAAAATAAACGACAGTATGAACCTCCAACAGGAACATTTGATGTTGTAAATGTGATATTTTGAAACAATTTGTAACCTTGGTCCTAAATGAGAGCCTGCACCTGTGCCATAGTCATTTCATAAAGCTACATGAAGGAGTGATTCAGTCAATATCCCTGCTTTTTCTTCCAATTTGCGCAGGCAGTATTGCAGCTCATTCAAGTAACCAAGGTCTGACCCTGTGCCTGCTACACAACTTTAAACTGCTGCTTTTATCCAAGGTTTCAGATTTAAACTTTGAAAACGGGATAGAGCCCACGGTGCAGCTTTTGATACTGCAGAGTAGATTGTATTGATTATTGCATTGCATTTATAATGTAATGTTGCAAAATTCTCTGTGGCTATTCCAGGTTCCCAGAGGATACATTTTAATGATTTGGTAACCCTATGACTTTCCTTCCAGCACAATCTCAAGGCCAGTAGCTTTATACTTTCTTCTGCACTTGTGTACACAAGACACTATAACTTTAATGAACTAAGCTCAATCATACTCCCAAGAGGATGCACCTGTTCCATTATGGACACCGTACGGTTTCTTCTAGCAGAAGCTTCAGTTCATAGTTTTCATCATTGCTGCCAAATACAAGCGCTGGTGTTTTACGTGCAAACACTACAGGGGAATAAGCCTATATTGCAGCTGAAATCTTATGTTTAAATATTAAATATGTGCTGATTTGCAAACATTCCGTTTTAGAAATCTGAACATTCAATAAAGCCAGGTTACAGATCCTTTGTTTACATACAGTATTACATTACATTAAGTATTAGAGTCCTTACAGGTTTTTTTCAGAGGAATTTTGTCTTTTTTTTTGCTCAATATGTCACAAAAATAATGTCAACAATCATAAAACATATACATTTTTCATCATGTTAGATATATTGCTGACTATATGAATGATATCTGATCCAACCACTTAGTAAGAACCATCGGAATATAGGTAGGAATGAAAGTGGAACATTTGATGTACAGTATATAAGTGCTACTGAGGTGAAGATGAAGAAGCTGAAGACAAGGAAATATTTTGAGCTTATAATATAATTGCATTCATTTTAAGACACACAAAGGTAAATAAGCAAAAGAAATACAAGTTTTCTGAAATTGTATGTTTACATTTGCAAACTAGGCATTATCTACAGTAATGCTTATTTTGGTGAATTTAGGAGCAATCTAAGATGCAAATAGTCAATTGTAGTCAACGAAACACCACATGTTATGGAACCAAATTAGCCCAGACTTTTGAATTTACCAATGGAAAAAGTATGTTTTAGCCTGTAGTCTCTTCTTGTTATAATGCACTTCAGAACAGTATCAGTTTTCTAATTGTCCAATCCAAAAATCTGGGATGTCAGGATATTTGAGAATCATTTTTATGCATGATCCGACTTATTGTTCTAGATATCCCTCTTTTGCATTGCTTCTAAAGTTTAACTTTCCTTTTTTTATCTTTCTCTTCTGCTAGATTTGTTTTTCTTCCACGTATATTGTACCGTTAATCTTACCTGGCTTCGATCGCTCTTACATTTAGCTGCTGAGATCAAACAAGAACGTGTGCTCATAGCCTCAGGGGGGACGGCTGTGTTATTAAAGACAGAGAGATTGCTGAGGGTCCGTTGAGAAAAGGTGGTGGAGGTCAGTAAGCCCAAGACAGCTCAGTCTCAGAGAAGCTTCCTGCTTCACATAATCTGAGGATATTTCAAACTAATCAACCGAGTGAGCCTTTGCTACAGTTAGAGCACCAATAAACCTTCTCCCTTTGCTTTGTCTCGTAGTGTTACGCGACGACTTCAGGCAGAACCCACAGGATGTGGTGGTGGCGGTCGGGGAGACGGCCATTCTCGAGTGTCAGTCTCCACGAGGGCACCCTGAACCCACCACCTTCTGGAGGAAAGATAAAACTCGTCTTGACCTCAAAGATGACAGGATCACGGTGAGTTTCTCCCCAGGGAGCTCTCTCCTGCCTTTTACAAGACCCTTGTTTTCTGAATGACATACTCAGTGATTTACTTGTTAGGCTACTACAAAGGAAAGCACTTTGTATTGAACTGGTTCATTGCAAGTACATTTTATTTTTTGTTAGGTGCGAGGAGGAAAGCTGACCATTTCAAATACAAAGAAGAGTGATGTGGGGATATATGTGTGTGTGGCGGCAAACATGGTCGGGGAAAGAGAGAGTGAAAAAGCTCAGCTCTCTGTGTTTGGTAAGAACTTTTTAGCTTGGTTCAAAAAGGAATAAAACACGTTTCTTTCCAAGGAATTTCCCACGAGCACATACAGTATTTAACACTCTGTCAGAAGTATATTTAGCATTTATGTTGTGTTTTCTGCCCACATCCAGAAAGGCCCGTGTTTGTGCAACGACCTGTGAACCAGGTAGTCTTAGTTGACGAGGCTGTAGAGTTCAGATGTCAGGTTCGCGGTGACCCACCTCCCACTCTGCGCTGGAAAAAGGAGGACGTGGAAATTCCCCGCGGCAGGTAAAGAGGATGCGTGTGAATGTGGATTGTGATGCATGCATGTTTGTGTGCATATGTTTAAGCAATAAAAGTCAAAATGTATAAATGCTGAAGCAGCGCTAATGACTCTCACTGGAGACTAATATTTTATTAATAGAAGACTTTCATCACTATGGCAAAACATCATTCATTTGCTGCAGAGAATCTTAGTATTTGCTGTATAAACAAGAGAGATGAAGCATATACACACCAATTTAATTATGGTTTCCATTATCATTGCGGTATTGTTAATATGTGTAAACATTTTTCAAAGATTACTGATACTCACACCTGCTTAAGTGTCTATTTCACTCTAAAAATGACATGATTTACAAAAAGAACATATTGCTTTATTGAAGAAGACTTAAAACTAGCAATTGAGACGTATACACTCAGTAGGAAAATGTTTACTGAGGTAAAGAATCATCTGAGGAGTAGGGTCATTTTCTCATAGACTTCTATACGATTGGACCCTGCTTTAATCTCATGTTTTGCAGTTTGGTATACCATGCTAAGATTCAAGTATGTCCATTGGTTGCTTATGACTAATTGGTCCTTTTAAATACTACTGTACTTTATGTGTACATACATGAGAGATGAGAACATGCAGAGAGTTCGACACATAAGAGCTAATCAAATAAAGAAATCCCATAATTCAAGGAAAAGTACCTAGCTGAAGTTTAAAATGTCCTTTTATTGTTGTTTCTGTGTTGTATTTAATTGCATCATATTTAAAGGCGTGTGGTTTGGTTCACCCTCGTGTACCCATGAGCGCATGTTAATTGCCTCGCAATCCCATTAGAGCACTTATTTTTTAAAGTCATTATTAGCCTGTCATGTGGGCTTTAATTTGTACTGCTCAGCGCTTTACACTTTTAATTACAGTTTGTCTCCTTATGCAATCTGGCCATCCATCAAAGCCTTTTATTTCCTTCCTTCGCTAGGTTTAAGTACAAGTTTAAGACCATTGTTCTTCCATCTGATAAAGGAATGAACAATACCTTGAGAAAACATAGAGATTATTTCATACTGCAAAAAGGACATTTTAGCTGGACTAAATGTTAGAAACGTGACTATTCACATGGCAATTTCAGACACGTCATTGGAAAAACAGTGTCCTTTGTAATTCACTTTGTAGCTATGCAAACTCCTTATAGACATATGTGAATCCTATTACGTTTGAAATTACCTGGATAAAGCTTGTCTAATTGTAAGAACCCTAATTAAGATGCGTAATTTAATTTCACATTAAATCAGACTTGGTATAGGGTATAATACTATAGCAGTGCATTTCCATATGGTCTTATAATCTGCATGACTGGTTCATTCATCGCTTGGAACCGTTCTCCTGCATTTGATTGATGGAAATGTGCCAGCTCAAATTAATTATGTTTATATAATTAACCATGTATATATATAATTAACTAATATGTTGTTGGATATGTATTCAATTACTCCTGGAATTGATATTTAGTAAATCAAGCATCAAGTAAATCAATGCAAGAGTTTCAGCTGGCGCACAAATGATACTGAAAACCATGTGAGGCAAATCAATGTTTACTTTAAAGGACTGCTAAAAATGTCATCCACTAAAAATCTTCACTGATGCTTCAAGTGTATTACCTGGTTCAAGCCATTACTACCTTGTAATTGCAATTCAAGATTATTTGTATAATCTACTATCTGTCACCTATTTGTTGGATTGCATGTTTGGACTATAACATGTCACACAAAGTGAAAAATGTCTCTCCAAGGTCATCTCTTTAAATGATGTGTTTTGTGAATACAGAACTCAAAGAGATTAAGTTGAATATGATGCAACAACTGAGAAAAGCAAAAAATAGGGGGTTCAAAAACAACCGTCACAATTCTTTGATTATCAAGTTTTGACCCCTTTTTTTGATTTTGTTTATCAAGTTATGGCTGCAGTTCTACCTAAGCACAATAATAAACTCTCCTCTGAGAATAAATTGTGAGGTAGACCATAGTCACTGCCCATCTCCCTGTCTGCCCACCTGTGTTGTGCCCTCTACCTCGCTACCCCTTGACTCCAGAAACATGTCCTACTTTCAGACCTGCCTCGCCTCACTTCCCTCCTTCCACTTCTTTCTTTCTTTTTTCGTGAACCCATCACTCTCCTGGGAAGGCTGAATCTGGGTCAGGGATGTGCCGTGAATGGAGTCCTCTGCACACTCTGGACAGACCAAACAACTCCCCCATCGATATTCTGCCCACACCCTCTGAAACATCTATTTCAAAATGTGACTTTTTCTCACCCCTTGCAACTTGTCTCTGCCTGACTTGTCTCCCGTCTCTGAATCAGTATGGCTGGCTAGACAATTTCACAGGATCTCTCACGCCAAAAGTGGCCCCAGAGAGGGAGAGCCTGACTCCTTGCTCTTCTGCTCTCTGTGTCTGTAGCCCCTCTAAGGCGCTTATCTACACTCTGGTAGCTGAGATGTTTCTCTCACTCTAACTGCGCCACTGCTGCCTTGCAGTATGGTGCACCGGCAGATGCACACTGATGCATGGAATATATCTATGAATTAGTCATTTCTTACTGCTCGGCTCATTCATCATATTCAGTTTGTCAGACTGGGCCACTCCCTTATTCTCAGACTGTTTGTCTATCCTCCGTCTCCCCCCCTTCCTCTGTTTTGCTTGCTCTCTTCCACACACTATGTAGCCCACTGCACAGCCCACACCACAGTAGGAGGCTCGTCTGTATAAATATTGAAATAGTGGAACAGTCAGGGTTCCAGCTGAAAGCACCTTTCATTTTGCCTCGCCTTCATCTCAGCATAATTGCCCAGCCCTTTTTTTCTGCTTGTATGGCAGAGTGTGTGCAGCGGGGAGTCTTCATTATCTCAGAAAGTCTGCTTTTAGTCTATGAAAAAATGACAGTACCTACAAAAGCTTCCAATCGTAAACATCACACAAGTAAACACAACCTTGATTCAATTGCTGTGTTTGTATTTACTTTATGGGAAAGAGCGTTTTTGATGAGCGTAATTGTCACTGATCTTCCCGTGTTTGAAAATCAATCTGAGGCGTCACTTGACTTCTTGTCACTCTCTACAGGTACGACATCCGATATGAAAAGGAAGACCTCCTGCTGAAGATAAAGAAAGCATCCGTCAGTGATCAGGGCACGTTCACCTGCCTCGCAGAGAACCGTGTTGGTAAAGTGGAGGCCTCTGCCTACCTGACCATCAGAGGTGGGTAACTGCTTTTGGACCCTCTCGAAGCAAAGCTCATAACCCATCCCTTATATTTTTGTGTCTCCCAAAGCAGCCCGCAGAACTATCAGCCATTTATTGCCCACTTTACGAGCGTTATTTGCCCCCCTGCTGAAACTCTCGGCCCAGCCTCAGCTTTTCTTTCATATAGCGGCGCTGATTGCTCCAGATCTCCAGCCAGGCTCTAGATATGAACAATCTAACCAGCTTTTAAGTGAACTGTTATAACTTCTCCAGGGGGGCTCATCCTCAAAACAACCCCCTCGCTCCATATTTATCAATGCGAGGAAAGCTTTTTCATAATAAAAGGTTGATATTGTAATAACAAAAATATATTGCTACTTGGCAAATCACTGCTTTGTGCTCATGGCATACATTTGGAGTACATTAAAAATAAATGTTCATATCATTTGAGACACGCAACACTTCACTAGGAACCAAAACCTAAAATATTATTGGATAAGTACACTATGAATCATCATATACACATTACATTGCAGTTCTCATAACATTTAATATCTTTTTTATTACTTTATACTTTATAAATTTGATTGTCATTCATGCATGAATTGTTTTATTGCCTGAAAAGACCCCAAAAGAGCTAGGATTGTACCCACAAAAATCAAGCTAGACCCTACAGTACATAAGGCAGCACAGTTTCTCACAAAGCCCTTGCGGAGCCGCTATCATGGAAGCAGTTTTGGGTAATTAAATATCAGATTTTCCACTGAAAAAAAGGCACATTTTGAGAAATGACAGCTTTGCAGAACCGGGTTTGGCAAGAGAAAGAAAGCTATATTTGTGCTTGTGCTTGGGTAAAATGTAATTAGAAATAAATAGCTGCTTTAAGACAGTATACACTGGACTGGATATTTCCAGAAAGACATGAGAAATGTTCCAATGAAATGATCTATTACAACTCAAAGGAATAGACCAAATCAAATGCGTCACTTGAGGTGTTCGTGTCGATATATTTCCACAAGCTGTTTAAACTCTTACTTGGCGGATGTTCTGACAATCAGTCAGTATGATTTCCAATTAATCAAATCAGCCATTTTCAAAGGTTTGTTTCATTTACATGATATGTGTCTACTGTGTGAATGTGCTATTCTTGCAACATAAGTGCTCCGGGTAAATTTGTTCAGTGGTTGTTGGCAATGGTTTCACCCTTCCTCCCCATAACGTTGCCAAGGTGCCATTATCCCCTGAGGCCCATGCCATCTCCTGCTTTCGGTGACTGAGCTCCACCCTCCCCCTCCCCCCCCCCCCCCTGAATTTCATGGATGGAAAACCCAACTCCATCTCATTCATTTCTGATTTTCATTCTTTTTTTTCTGTCCCTCTGGTCTACTCCTCTGCTGTCCTTCTCTCTGTGTTAATCTCACCCACACCATTGTTGTGTCATCAGCTCGCCCCGTCGGTAAGTAAGGGCTGATCCCATTGTGCATGCATTGCTCTCTTTCTCTCTCTGATCACACACATGTATGCATGGACTGTTGTGGCATTCCACGGACACTTTCATCCAACTTATATTGGACACGCACATCTACATTGGTTCTATCAACCCGTGACGTCCAACGGATTTACCACCTCACTTTCTTTCAAGGGGTCCAGGTTCAGTCCGATTGATATGCCCTAATTCAAAAACTGGAATTGAGAAGGCCACTTGCTAATTAGTTGATATCATTCATTCTGATATTCTGGCAGCTGGATGAATGGCTTGTATGATTGGCGTAGTCAAGAAATAGTAAAGTAATAACAAATGCATGACCCTTTTAGATTGCAGCTGGATCTTCACTCCAAGCATTTCCTTTCACTCTGATTTGAAGTATGTGTTGCTATATGTTATGGTTTGCTCTACCTTTTAACCTCAGAGGCACCCCAGTTTGTGGTGAGACCCCGGGACCAGATTGTAGCGCAGGGACGAACCGCTACCTTTCCTTGCGAGACCAGGGGCAAACCTCAGCCGACTGTCTTCTGGCAACAAGAGGGTAGCCAGGTGAGGATGCTGATTTTGAAAAATGTGACTGGAGAGCTTACGGACACAAATTCTGCAGCAGCAACCAGTTTAAAGAAGCGTATATATTAAAAAATGGCGAGACTAAAAGGATCATATCAGGGGACAGCGCAATGTGGTTATGTTCCATATACAGATAATGAAGTGGTCATTTATCACCAATCTACACCAGTCTGACCGACAAATTCACTTAGCAAGTAACAATGTCATGTGAAGCATTAGAGTCATTAGACATAATGAAAGCAGGCTAATGTCCTTTCCTGCCCATCAGCTTGTCTGCTTGGGGTGCAGAAACGGACAACGCTGATGCCTCAATTTCATGACTATGACTGCAGGTTATTAAAGCAGGATTATGACTCTGAGGGTAAACTGCCATTCAGACCTAAAAGGAAAGAGGCATTGACCCACTTTCCTAGCTGAAATGCACATTATTGTTGTAAAATGTAAGAAAATGAAAGACATTTCTTTAAAGTCATTTGTGCAAGGTAAATATGCAAGTTAAAATATGTGTTCCCCACTAATCAAATGTTAAGGCAATCAACACTTGATAGTGTTTCATGATTCTTTAGAGTTCTTTATGACCTCATTTACAAGCAAACATTTAGTTCAACCTAACCCTAACCTTCATTTTGGAAGTGAACTAAAACAAATGTTTCTGATGCAGCCCGTATTTAATTGGAAGACCCAAAGCATTAACCATGGATGTTTATTCTAATACCTTTTTTAAATGTGAAACGCCATACTAATCATCCGTGCGTTCCACTCCATATTACTCAGTTGCGTTTTTCTCTGTGCTTGATGTTTTCCGTTTTAACATTCCTCAGCACAGCATTTCTGACCAATGAAAAATACTTCTGGAGCCCTAGTATCTAATACACCATTCAGCAATAGTATTGTTTGTATTCGGCTTTTATTCGTGCTCTGTGAAACCAAGCCAGAATAAATAGTAAAATGGACTATTCATTTTACTCTGACTAGCCAAAAGTGTGAGGAAGATATAAAGATATAAATAGGTGTCATCTGCTAAAAGATGTGTTATGTTTATTAGGGTCAAATGTTGTTAAAGAAAAAAAAGGGTCTGAAATGTGCCACTTGTTTTAAGATAAAACAAAGATAGTGGTTAAACCAGAGGAAGAATGTTTCTAGAACAATGTTCATATTCAGATGGAAAATATGCATGCCACTAAGAAAGACAATTGATGTTCATGGATTTTATACCTTTGGATCACCAAGCAAGTATGCCATCCCATTTTATTGACTTTGCTTGCCATTTCCTCTCCCTGTAGGATCTTCTGTTTCCCAACGAGCCAACTCAGGGAGAAAGCCGTGTTTCTGTGTCCATGACTGGAGAGTTGACCATTTCATCTGTGCAGCGCTCAGACGCAGGGTATTATATCTGCCAGGCCCTCACTGTAGCAGGCAGCATCATGGCCAAGGCTCAGCTTGAGGTAGCAGACGGTAAGGCTGGACACACACACACACACACACACACACACACACACACACACACACACACACACACACACACACACACACACACACACTAGACTAGAGCTACTTTTTCTTTGGTTGCAGTATCCGATTTACCAGCAACAACATGTGCCAATAAGAATTATGTCTAAAGTTAACATTTGAAATATAAATTATTTTGTTACGCCTTGTTACATTAATGACTGTATGCATAGAGAAAGCACATATGCTGCATTAGTGGATACAAAATAATATTGCATGGCTCAATACACAGGTAATTTTACCAGAATTGAATCATTACTTTTCCCCACATGGTGTCATCTAGAGGGGCTTTTCATTATAGGTTGTAGTTGACAAACACCACTGCATTCTGCAATGATTTCTGAAGTATAGAAGTATATAAGTATAAACTTGTAATGGCAGCAGTTTGTAATAAAACATGCTCTAAATAGTCAATGTCATGTTGTTATGATGTCTTTATTCATAGTTTAGGCTGAGCAAAACATGACATATATTTTACCTAGCTTCCTGAAGTCATTGGTTTGTTTTAGAAATGTTGACTGGGTAGAGTGCTAACACACATTTTAATGTAATGGCTGTGTCAATTGTATTATATATGTGTATTTGATACCTCTTTATTGTGATGCATGCTGGGTTTAACATTATATAAAAACACACATTAGCCGTCAGCATTTTCCACTCAATAAATCTGAGGTTGTTTTTTTGCCCACACTCAGATAAGCAGTGATGCATCTATATGTTCTAAAAGCCAGTCACCCATCATTTGTAACATTAACACCCCGCTTTGGTAGATATAAATGGTCTAAAAAGACTGAAACTGTCTAAAATAAAACTGTCCTCTTGATGGAGAGACACTTAACTTTTTTTTCTTCCTTTTTGACAAAGCATTAATGTCAGCATTAAGTGCTGTGCCGCTGCCAGCTGGGAGCTGTTTATGCCCTTCTCTCCATTTGTGTCTTGGCTTTTTCTCCCACACATTATTAAATTAACATCTGTTGAAGTGTTTTTTGGAGAGGAAATGACTGCTGTTCTGTCACTCAGAGGAGATGGATCAATATCAAAACGTTTGGTGCTGAACACGAGGGAACTGAGATGCAGTTGATGGATGGCTGTAAACGGAGAAGTGCCGCCATACCAAATGGAGTTCTGGAAGCTTTCCTTGATGTTTCCATTGTACCGTTATGCTCACACAGCACTGCAAACACTATAGCTTGCAAGCTGCTTGAGGATTGAAATCAAGGCCTTGTATTTAGGCATGTTTTGCTCAAAGTAGTTTGGACCCTGAGCACAGTGATGGACCATTAAGATGCAACAGAAGAGGTTTGAAAATGTTTGATAGATATGAAATGGGTCATCTTAGAAATCCAATACATCAGCTGGGACTCCAGGCTGACCACGGCTGCTCCTCTACACATTTATGAGCAAGCTATGCTCTTATCAAAGCGGTATTCCAAGCCTACAGGTGGTAAATATTTGATAAGATGGATTTTGTGTGTAGTATTGCTGTCCGACCGGTTCCTACGGACACTGAGGATGTCTCGAGGCGTAAGTAGCTTACGGTGTAATGCTTGATCAAAGCATACAGACAAGGACCTTGAGAATGACCTCTCAACTCTAGTCTTGAACAGTGGAGGTTGTTGAAGTTTGATTTGATACACTCATCATGTTTTAGTAATCATCCTAAACTCAACATACATACGACCATAGGTTATATAAAAGAAGTGGGCATAGTTGACGTGATATCACCCATTGGTTAGTGAAGACAACTCTCATTTGGCATTTTGGACGTCACCTTATTGGTTTTACCTGTCATAGACACGGACGACACCCAAGCCGGAAGAAAAGAAGACCTGAAACTAGTAATCGGGGCCAATCAGATTTTTCTTTTTTTAAACAGTGGAGTTGCCCCCTGCTGGTCTCTAAAAAGAGTGCAGGTGTAAGGTCCTTCTCGCATTGGCTTCACTTTTTAGATCTGGAGGTTGATGCCAACACCAGTTGATTTATCAGGCACACCATTTATCTACATACCTGATTTAAAGAGGCCCATGCTTATTTTCAGGTTCATATTCGTATTTTCATGCTTTTATGTTCAAAAAGTGCTTTATTTTTATATTGGTTAGCTGGCCAGCCCCGTTGTGATTGGTTAACCGCTATGAGAGGTCCCGCCCCTTTGTCTATCACGTACAATGTGTTGGAGTGCTGGCCAATAGAAGCGTGTGTTACAGAGTGTTACAACGTGATGTCATTATCTTACGGAAGAAACAATGGATTCCAAGTGAGGCGTGCCAGGCAGGGGGTGGGATTTAAGACTTTGCAGAACATTTACATGCACAACAACCTATATTACTACGAGATAGAGAACAACCCAAAAAGCATAATAGGGCCCCTTTAAATCAATTCTGTTTATTTCATAGACGAGCAGCCTCTGGTAGTCATAAGTGATACACAATCTCAAACAGCAACATTTTGTTATTAGTTTTGTCACCAAAGCCTTGGAGTGTATGATTGCCTTTCTTACAGGACTACAGCTAAATTAAGAACAGCAATATGTTGTTGTTGGGTCTCTTATCGCTTGGGGAAAATAATATAGCTTGCACGGTAGATGTAATGTTATGTTTTTCTAAAAATGCAATACTAGACAATCTGTCTTAAGCTCTTACAAAGGCACATTTTATGCTCAACTGAATTTCTTCAAGAACAACTTCACACAAAATTAGAAAAGCATACATGTAGATGATTATTGCTGCATTAATGCAAACCATTTAACCTCATCCACCACTTGAACATCGCACGTGTTTCTGCTTACTCTAACCACTTTTAGTTTTGCTTCAATTCTGCTTGAGTTGCCGTATTCCTCCTTGTGCTGAAGGAGGTGTGATGAAAGATAAGGCAGGGGGATTTTGCTGTAAACACTTGTACAAATGGAGACAGACCTGATAACAGTGGAGAGCAGCAGTGAGGAGATTGGAAGCGGGGGGTAGTTACAAGTTGGAGAGAGCTTCTACACTCCAGAAATGACTGTTGCAGAGTGCAGCGGCTGTTTTCTGGATGATATAACATGCTTTAAAACGCTTTAAAAGAGATCCATTGTTGTTCTGCTTGGCATGCTACGACTTTAGTTGTGTTTGTGTGTGTTGCGAGGGGAGAAGGTACAGCCATGAGTCAGAGTTGGAAGAGAGAGGACAGGCACGAATGTGTTGAGGGGTGTTATAAAGAAGGTATGGTAATTAGCACCACGGGTGAAGCATTGTTAATCCTCACCTAGTAATTAAAGCTCAAAGGTGTGATGCAGTGCCATGAGCACACTGCCTAACTGTGGAAAAAGCCTCACAAAACAGTCACTTCCTCTCACAACAAATCCATCAGATTGAACCTGAACATCTTGCAGGGCCTGCAGTCACTAATGCAATTACCACAATCACAAATTAACACCTAGTGATAAGGTCATGTTATTTTTTCTTCCCAACAAATCAGGCACGATCTAACTCTTCAGTTTATAGTCATTGCCACATGCCAAGATTGTGACATCGAAATTGCAGTGCTAAACATGTGTGTTCGAGGGGAAATAACACCTGTCCCCTGATTATTATCCTTAGCCCTGAAGGACCGCCCTCCACCCATCATCCGACAAGGCCCATCCAACCAAACGCAGGCGGTGGGGGGTGTTTCCCTCCTGAGGTGTCAGGCCTCAGGGGACCCCGAGCCCACAGTCACCTGGAGAAAGAATGGCGCCAGTCTGCTTGGGAAGGACCCAAGATTTTCCCTGCTGGAGCATGGGAGCCTTCAGATCCAGAATACCAGGGTAGGTAACAATGGATTACAAAGAGATGCATCTACATAGGAGTTAGCATGTAGCATTTTAAAAGTAGCATTATGTGGCACAATGGCCTGCCTGTAATACTGTAGAAAATGAAAGCATACTGTATGTTCTTGGAAGGTGACAAACATATTTTTAACAGCTTATTCAGGTTTAAATTTGCATTATTTTGGCTGTACCTGAAATGTTACAAGCAATTATACCAAAAAAGTTGCACTCCCAATTGTTCTAGTGAGGATTCATTAATATAACATTTAGTTATTTCCTTCCATATCAGTATACTTTCCTATGTATGTATGTCTTCAAATAATCACACAGTCCACACATTTCCCCCTTTTTTACAATTTTTTTCTTAAGAAGAACTCAAAATACTGTGTCTGGGTTTCATTATTTTGAATATTTCACTGTCAATAAAACCACGTACAGAAAAACAGACATCAAAACAATAAAAAAAACTCAAACGCAGGTGAGCGTTTGAAGATTTTGCGTTTGTACATCACATCCTTCCATTGCATGTGAAGGACCAAAGATAAATTATGTCGTCTGCCAGCTGATGTCAACTGAATGTAATTCAAATGGACAAGCGCCTTCAGGTTGCTTTTAAAAGATGAATAGCGCGTATTGATTTTCATAAGTTGTTAAACGCTGATATTTAGTTGGAATCTCTGAGGCAGCAGTTACACTCAAGGACTCAAGGACAGGAGCGAGTGAGTGGAGTGCGAAGGGGGTAATATGAAGGAGGAAGTGCAATATACAGTGTCCTGTCGCAGTGTCAAAGTGCTCTTCCTGTATCACTCTCTCCTCTGCTCTCTTGAGAGATAGCACAGTTGTGAGTGGCTCCTAAGGCACTGGCAATAAAAAATGGATTGTCATATCTCTTATTCCCTGCGTCAGCACTGGTGATGATAATGTTGATGGCTCTGGGAATAAGGGTTGACTATTATTGGAGAAAATCAATTAAGAAAATTAATGTAGGCTCTTACTGGGATCTTTTTTTTCATTGGCCGGTGTTAAAGTTTCCTCATCCACTCTCCGGCTTTTCTCGAGCCAAATGCAGGCCAGTGGAGGTTAATGCATTTCTACTGTACTACCAGCTGTGAACCTCCTTCAAAAGCCCCGAGTGACGTAAGAGCTTGTAGAAACCATCGGGGATCAGACTTTCAAAGACTATTGCATTCACTCGAGCACAGCAACTGTGCACAGTCTGAAAACAGTACCTTTAGAGAAAATCTTTATTCTGGAAAAAATCTTGATATGAAAGTCTTTGTTTTTTAATGTTAAATGTGTCATGGTGTAGACAGACTTCGGGAGTAACAGTTTACATGTACTGTAATGGGGATTACTAAGTGAGGATACAAAAACAAGGTAACTGTATTCCCTTACAGTGACAGAAATAAGACATAATCAGATTACATTAAAAAAAATGTGGGGGTTACTAGCAGGAAAACAATGTTACTAAAAAACTAAAAAGAGCATATATAGTATTTGATGTAAAAAGATCAGATTGTATTTCTTCTTTGTAAGCTATGAATCTATATGCTTACTTTCTGAATCTGCTTTATGGTTTTCATGTTATAACTTATATGTTCAAACTGTAGTATGTGCTCATGTGTTTCATTGTTGGTGTTTGCCTAAATATGATTAAATGTAAGGCAGGTTTTCCTATAAATAAAAGTTCTGAGAAGAGGACACATTTTTTTAAAGTAAATGTCTTAGTGACATTGTTCTGTTGTCTTACATAATAAACTTAAAGGGGACCTATCATGCAAAATGCACTTTTGTACGTCTTTTATACATGAATATGTGTCCCCGGTGTTCCAGGGAACTCACCAAGTGTCAGAAAACACAACCCTCTCTATTTTCCTCCATACCCAAATCTCTAAAAAAAGGGGCTGCAACGGATCTGATCAAAGCTGATCCAGATTTGAACACTTTACTGACGTCAGTAAAGTGGCGCTACGGCTATTGGGCCAACTCTCCACCTATCAGGGGAATGTGGGGTTGGGCCACGGCCGGCCATTGCCGCTCGAAAGCGCTGGAGACGCTGTAGTACATATGCCAGGCCTGTAAGTGGCGCTGTAGTCTGCCACAAAAGCAGCGAAGAAGACTTCCCGCCCATAGTTACCATGGTTACCCTTCTGTTTATTCTCCGCTGTGGCTTTTTTTCTCCCTCCCCGAGGCAAGCGTTTGCTCCTCCCGCTGCTTTAATTCAATGCAATCCCTCCCCGTCGAGGCAAGCACTGTAATTCTCTCCGGTTAGTCCACCAGCAGATGACAAACACCCACCTCTCCGCCTCTTCCAAGGAACGAGGGGACCGTGCAGCAGAGTTTCAGTTTCAGTTTCTTTCGCCGGTCAAGATGTCCGTTAAAGTTTAAATATTCCGGACAAAATAGAAAAGTGCCGGTCAAAGGTCTTCTTTGTTATTTATTGAGCTTTAAAACAAATGAATAACGACTCTATAGGCCTATAATAATATAATAAAACACGGAAGACGGAGATCTATTTTTCTCCCCCTCTTCTGACAGCCCAGCAGCTGATCAGAGCGCGCTCCCCTCTCCTGCAGGGGGGCGTGGTCAGCTGCAGCTCACAGAATCAGCCCCCTGCAAAAACAGGGCTGGAGAACAACAAATAGAGCGAAATGAGGCATGGCTTCAAATCATGATCTGTTTGGTATTTTGAAAACAGAAACGTATAAATATACCTTATATAGGTATGGCCCTACAATATATCATTTAAATATAGCATGATAGGTCCACTTTAAGTAAAAAGATCATATTGATATTTATTTTCTCTTGTATTTATTTGCATTGCATTTTATACTGAGGTAATCCAGAAGTAACTGAAAGTAATCAGGTTACCTTATATATGTATACTCAGATTAGAGTACTGATTTCATTTTTACAGGTAACTAGTAATTGTAACGGAATACATTTGGTTTGCCCCTTATTGATAACATCATGATCTGTCTTCCATAGCTGTCTGATTTGGGGTTGTACACCTGTGTGGCCACCAGCTCCAGTGGAGAGACATCATGGAGTGCATACTTGGATGTCACAGGTCTGCTGCAGTAGAAATAATTAATATGAAAATTAACATTTATGCATACAAAGCAGTGCTTGATATGCTTTGCATTTGCAGGTACTGATTTTGTCTCTCTACTTTCCGTCCTCTGTCAGACTCCACTGAGCTCTCAGACTTCATGTCTCACAACGCCACCGCCCTCCCAGGCCCACCCTCCAAGCCAGAGGTCACCGATGTTACCAAGAGCAGTATCTCATTGTCATGGGAACCGGGGCCAGAGGCGGGCTCCCCACTGTCCTCCTATGTCATCGAGGCCTTCGGGTACGTCTGTGACCTATGGCCTGCGGCTACATTTAGTGACCCCAAATTGTGTTGTGGGAGCAGTCAATCAAGTCAGGGTTTTTCATTCTGGATATTCACTATGGCTCACATTTCATTTGAAAAGATAAATGTTTTTGCATGTACATGTAAATGCTAACCATTGGCATATAGAAGCTCACTTTGCAAATTGGTAAGGAAGTAAAACAAATAGTGCCATTTTCCAAATAGTTTACTAAATGAGCGGTAAGGACTACATAGATAGACAAAGCGTGTGTCACAAGGGTTACCCTTATTAATGTTTGACATTTTGATTTTGATTTTATGAGAGAGAATGGCAAGTCATTACTGTACCGTAGATGTGATAATGTGATTTTGCCTTAATCTATAGGAGCACAACCTACCAGTGTGACCCCGAAATAAACGGTCTACATCTATAGTAATGAAGAGATTCATCCTAATCGATAACAATGAATGGCAATATATTATAGGCAAAACACACTGGTCAATCCTGAGAGTTTGGTCTATTTTCTAGTGGGAATGCTTTTTTTTCATATTTAAGTTATCAAATGCAAAAGTATCATGTTTATACACTAGTTATGTCTAACTAAATATGTTGCTCTATTCAGCTGCAGTGTATGACATTGGACAATACATATACATACAATACATACGTACTTTGAGTCAGACATCTCACATTAAATACACCACATAGTCCAGTTCTTGTACTTAATAAGTGTTGGTTCATATATATTCATACAATTGTTATTCTATACCTATTTACAGTATTTTCCGATATATGGAGTGATCCAAAGGCTTGCTTTATCAAATGTTTATATTTCTGTTTTAGAATCTTATGCAAATTAGCACAAAGCTTGTCATACAACACAACATATGTTCATGCAGGTAATCCACTGCTGGGATTTCATGCTGTTAACCTTACTCATCTGTACTGTCTCCCTTTAACTCTTTGCAGTCAGTCAGTGAGTAACAGCTGGCAGACAGTGGCAGACCATGTGAAGACCACCGAGTTCACAGTGAAGGACCTCCGACCCAACACCGTCTACCTGTTCATCATCAGGGCAGTCAACGCTCAAGGGCTCGGGGACCCCAGCCCCATGTCTGAGCCTGTCAGGACTCAAGGTACAGAAATAAGAATGGAGTGTGCTGAATCCTTAGCGATAAGAATCACTATTCCTCTTCACATGCCTGCATTTCTTTCTCTCTCCCAGACATCAGTCCCACGGCACAGGGAGTGGACCACCGTCGCGTGCAGAAGGAGTTAGGAGACGTGGTGGTCAGCATGCATAACCCTGTGGTCCTTAGTTCCACTTCAGTGCAGGTCACATGGACCGTGAGTACTAACTTATTTTTAAATGAACGGTGATTTTTTTTTTTTTGGACCGTCAGAGCAGCAAAACAAATCTTGCCTAAGCTTGTTTGGGAACTTTGTAGTTGGCATGTTGTGGATTAGTTGGCACACAGTGGGTAAACACGGAGGCATTGGATACACATTCATAGTCTGAGCAGCTGGTGCTCCATCAGTTTAGAATGGTTTGAGTGGATGCAGGAATCAAGACTAATGTTTCTATTCAGGATGAATACATCACCATTAGGTGCAACATGTGTCACTTCTGGAGGCACTTTGCAGTCAGCCCTTTATCTGGGAAATGTTATTCCTGTCTGTTGGCAAGGTGTTCCTGCAGTGTGCTGCTGGAGGTTAATGACACACCTCGGATAGGCTTACGCTCGGCTGCTATTTCATGCTTGTCTGTACGGCAACCACGTCCTGTACTGCTGCTCGCAGGCTGACACAGTGACAGGATAAACCTGCGACTGAAGTCGATAGGAATAGGTACGTGGACAATTGTTGGACTAGGATCCATTTAAGTGAAACATGGTCATCCATTACCCAATGTCAAGCAAAATGTGTCTGTATTAAAGTGGTTTGTGTTCACTGTTAGATTTGGTCTGAAGTCTTTGTTGCTTTGTGTATTTCCTGTGGGAACAGTTGCAAAAATGTTCTGTTTGCCCATTTTGGAACTCACATTTTAGTAGAAATGTATTGGACAATCTGTTCCTGGAAATGTTAGGTGACAAAGCAGAGATGCTTAAAAATGTTTCCCTCAGATGCAGCAGTTGTTTCCATTTCCTTCATTCCAGACTTTATCTTGATTAGTTATGCGGCTAGTTTCTAAGACATAGGAACACAGGCGGATGTCATTTATTATGATTAGGGCCTCAATCGTATACATTGTCTCAACTAACATAGGTTGTTTTCTTAGATGAACTATTTCCGTACAATCGAGACCTCTCATTGTCTGGAATTTCATTTTCACACAACATATTGTCTGTGTTACAATGGTTTTCACTTGGACATACTCCATACCATGTTTGGTTTTGACAAAATTATGACATGACACAAATTACACCGCAGTCACATAGCCTGTTTGTCTGGTTCGAGCTGAGCAGGGTGACCAAAACATAGGACGCAACAATTATTGGAATGGAATTCTTCCATTTATGACAAACAAGGATCTGACAAACCAGAGAAATCCAGAACTTAAATACATGCAGAACTAATCACAAAGACAAGACACAGCTGGGCCGGAAAAACACAAGGGCACCAGGTGAACAGAATCAGGTAGTCAAACAGGAGGGAAAACACAGAGACAGGAAGTAAAAGCAGACATAACAGGGGCCGAACACTTTCAATATTAAACAGGGAACAGACAGATCGTGACACAGTTAGAATTCAGTTCATAAACAACCACCTTTCTTTAAATGTGTCTCAAGTTTGGTGTTGGCAAACACTGACAGAAGTTCCTGAATCGTGTCATCTCTTAGATATACATGTTGGTGACGGCCTTTGTCTAAATGACCCCTTTTCTTCAATCTTGGTTAAATGTTTTTCTTTAGAAGTCCATTTGCTTGAATAACATGACATTTGTTGTAGGGAGCTGGCACGGTAAAGTCTGTTTAATACCAGAATGATTTGGATATTTGCACACTGATAATTCCAGGGAGTTTTGTTGTGCATTTATTCAAGTGGCTATAGAGCAACAAAAGCATGAGTGGCACATCCAGTGTTTATAAGGCTTTTAAATTCCCAAATCATTTGGTTAATGAAATGTGGACTGGGGATAAGGAGGAGAGAGACAGAGAAGGAGAACGAGGGAGAGCAAGAAACAGAGAGAGAATGAAAGATATCCTAATATAATTTGACTGGTCTGATGATAAAAAGCTGCTTTATATCACTTGTGAAAGCCTTTCCTTGCTTCTGCCCTTGTTAACAATCCATTACTATGATTCCTATGGGCCACATATTTTACTCTTCCCCTGAAATGCACCGAAAGAAAAAGAAAATATCAAGTCCAAATTCTGCTGAAGGTCTTACTCAGGGGTGTTGTTCAGCTTTGGAAAATGGACTACAACTTTCTTCATGTAGTTTCTTGCTCCTTTGCAACTAATAAAACTGTATTAACTTAGCACATTGTAACTGACAACGGGAACACAAACTGAATGCTGATACCCGGTTTCAGCTGCAGTTTAAAAACGGGGCCAAAACACATGCAAATGAAGAAACATCTTCACTAACTTGACAACAGTAGCATTTAAAAAACATTCCCTAACTTGACCAAACAGGGTTTACTAAAAGTGGCGCCTACAAAAAACGCTGCAAGAAGCTCAAAACACAACGGAAACGGTGACACTAAAAAGTGTTGGATTATAAAGTTGGCCAAATGTCACTGTGACTGGAAACGTACCTAAAATGTACGTTGAATTGGGTTAATTTAACAATGTGATTACATGATTCCCTCAGATATTATTGCAGATTTGCTATAACCTAGCTCGTTTATGCAGCGCTTTTAGTAAACCCATACGCATGTTTCATCAAGTTGGTGGAGATGTTTCTTCATTTGCGTGTGTTTTTGCACATGTGTTTTTATATTGGCATCGTTTTTTGAAACTGTTCCTCCTATTAGAAGCGTTAGCACCTGTCGGCCACCATCCCCTTCATCCCCCTTTCTCTCCTCCTCTCAGGTGGAGAATCCATCCCAGTTCATTCAAGGCTACCGTGTCCTGTTCCGGCAGACGTCAGGGCTGCCCTCCCCCGGGCCCTGGCAGATACAGGACTTGAAGGTCGCCTCGGAGAGGGACATAACTCTCTCCGCTCTGAAGAAAGGCATCGTGTACGAGATTAAAGTGCGGCCGTACTTCAATGAGTTCCAGGGTGCAGACAGTGAATCCATGACGGCACGCACCATGGAGGAAGGTACGCGACAAATTAATTCACATTTCTGACAAAATAATCGATTTCTCCGCTGACTTTATGCTGCAAGAAATACAAGATTTAGTTACTTGTGCATGAGCAGAAGCTCTTGTGTAAATTGTTCTGCCTACTTCTTTTATATTTAGTTGCCTCTAGTAATGGCTTCATGGCTAGATAGTAACGGATAATGGCATTTCAAGTACATCCGCCCACACGCATGCTGCTGCAGTGCCGTGTCCCCTGAGTGTGGAAGCAGGTCTCCCAGACAGCGCAGTGGGGGTCTGTGACAAGTCTGGGCCTCTGTGGGTGGGTTGGCAGAAGAGGGAGGGCACAAACTGTCTCCTTTGACATACGCTTAGCTCTCTCTCTGCTCCTCTGTGGACCCCCAGCTGCAGGTCTCCACCACACAGTAACCAAACCTGCCTTTGCCAACACATACATGTTTTTTCAATCTACAATTGTGTATAGCCCGACCTACTTGTCACCAAGTGATGCAGTTTACATCAAAAGTAGTGTAAATAGAGTCATAGCTCAATCACTCTGAACAAATACACGGCAGAGATATTTTTTACATTCAATAAGACACTGTGAGAAATTATTATCATGAATAAACGTCCATTGATTTGCTTCAAAGACATAAAAGACAGGCACTCCTTATGACTAAAGAAATGCGATGATGATGAGTTTAATACAGTATCAAAGTAATGCAATGATAGTGTTCTGTATTACCTTGGGTACATTGGAAACAGGAACGGCTGATTGCTGTTATGGCATACCTTTGTTGGCGCCAGTTTCTCTCCCCCACCTGCCTGAAATGCCTCAATTGGACCCCTTTGTTTACTTCAGTAACATACTGTAATGGCATCACCATGTAACACTTGCGCTTCTAATAGCGCTCCAACACATTGTATGAGAGGCTAAAGGGCGGGATATCTCTAAGTGGTTGGCCAACCACAACAGAGCGGGCCAGCTAACCAATCAGAGCAGGCTGCGCTCTGCTTTCAGACAGAGGGTGAAAAGAGGTGCTGCAGCACAGGCAGTATGAGAAAGATAAAGAGCTTTTTGAACATTAAAGCATGGAGACATGTCACAGTAGAGACACAAAATACAACATCAACAGGAAAATGAGCATAAAAGGGCCCCTTTAATAGCATTCCTTCTACAGTATCTTAATGTGCTAGAACATCAGAAAAAAACACAGATACATCCCCATAACCACTGAACAAACTCAATCCAACAATTGGGAGCATGTAAGGTTGAAATTTCATGAAAAAGCTGGCAGTCAACATGAGATTGTATTCTCTCACTACAGTTTCTACGGTAAAAATGACCTTACATACTCACTTCACTCGCATCTGCTGACTGGGCAGTGGGATTTCTTTGTGTGGTTTATTGCATTCATATGCTCCACCAGCTGGACTTTGTGGCATACGGTTTGTGAGAGCGAGTCATGATGAAGCCACTAATGCATCTTCCTCACAGTCAGATGATAAGGATGGTCATGAACGTGGGATACAAAGAGAAATTCACCCCACTGTAGCCCAATTAAAAATAGCCACAAAGGATCACCAGAGGTCTGTAGACTGGGGAGCGTGCACTGGTATCCTGGAAACAAGGAGTTGTGGAAAAAATTGGTTTGATCTACAGATACTCTAGAGCCCGAAATGTGCTGCTCTGCAGAATTATGAGAAAAACCCTCTATCCATCAAAAGCAGATTGGGAAAGTGCCACTGCCTTTGTGAAAACATATCAGAGGGAGTCTTAGGGGACCCGGGGTCAAAACAGCTGGTGTCTCCCACTGCATACGGGGAGAAATTGTGCATTAAGATTAATGTTCCCACATCCCTTCAAAGTTGTTGGCGTGAGCAATTTGGCCAGAAGCAGTGGGCTTTGTCATGTAACCACAGGATCACCAGGCTCATGGAGAATCTAAGGAAATGTTACAGTGTGGTGTGATAAGGTCCCAGGCAGATGTAACTGATAAAAGGAGGCTGCTTGTTGGAGCCTAAGTGAAAGGGCCAAAAGCTGCAGTTTCTCAAAGATAGAAAACAGATGAATCTCTAACCCCCACGAATTGAGCCGGGCGTTGAAGCAAATGTTTGCAGTGGCCAAACGGTGGTACTACACTTCACTGTCAGTCCATGACTTCATTTTGGTCCAAAATGTTCCCATTGACACTCACTGGGAAAGAGACATCTTTATAGCAGCATATTCATTTTTTTAAGGTAATCCTACTCCACAGAACAAACATGTTAATAGCCCACATTTAAATGATTAGGTCCTCAAGGTTGGAAAATGCACTAAAATTTGAATCCAGAGTTTTTTCCCAACCCCATTTACATGATCAGAGGTAGGGCTTAAGAAAATTGCACATACGCAAGTGCAGAAAAAGTGCATTTTCTGTGCAAATCATATTCCGGCTGATAGTTAGGAAACCTTAAGGGCGTGGCCACTTTGAGTGACAAGTCGAGCCGTCAGAGATCACAAGCTGGGCCCGCCTCCACCAACGATCCAACTCTTTGCTCATTTTGGATTAGCCGGGTGTAAGGCTTAGATAGCTCTGCCAAAATGGCCTCTTTGAGCTTTATGGCCCTTCAAAACATATGGGTCATTTGACAGAGACATCCGTATTCTACATGTGTTTACTGTATGTCTGATTATATATACTAATATAAGAACGTGGCATGAGAGTCAGTGAGAGAAGACGAGGCCTGCCTGTTTGGAGCTCCACAATCCAAGGTGATAGAGTTTATGAAGTTCACATGTGTGTTTTATGGGGACAGTTATGTTGACAAAGACATGTTTGCTAATTCATGAATTAATTAGCCTAATTGGTGAACTAATTTGCATAACAGGTTATGTTTACCACTTTAAACCCTGCATAGCAGGACATTAAGCAGCTTAAGTGCCTTTTGTTTAATTGCACAGCTGTGAGTAACAACTGGAATGTTCCCTCCGACATTGGCAGCAGTAATTGCTTTAAATGACTCTGTTCATCAGTCTTAATATCAGTATTAGTCTATTTTTGACCATTTATTGTAATGTTATCCTGAGTCATTCCTTGTACTGTAGCCATTATTCATCCTCTGGGATTGTTCTCGTACATAACGGAAATTGCAGAACTACACTTAATGGTTCCTGTCTTCTACTAATGTAAACCTTTGACTGACGGGGCAGGCTCCATACGGTTGCTAAAACAGAATTACTTAAATGACATGTAGTCGTTCCATAGCACTGACATTAGCCAGTACAATATATATAAGATTTCATCCTTTGGCAGTATTTTATTCTGGTTATAGCTATTCTTTGATGCACATGCGCTAGTGCAAAGGTTGAACAGCAGAACAGATTTTCATCTATGCTTATCATTTGTCTTGATTTGATTTTCTGAAAAAAATAGCACAAACTGTTCCTGGCTACGGTTTTGTCAAACTTGAGCGTGCTCCAACACTAGTGGCTGTTTGTGCTCTATTGGGTGTTTTTAATTGTTTGTTTTCCCTTCAATAGATTTGTGATTATGATTTGATTTTGTGAAATTTCGCCGACAAGGAGATGGATTGCCTTAGAAAATTATGAGCCAGAGAGCCTTGCTGAAAGTCTGGTTTTTATCAGAATGGTTGGCAATCCAAATAATCACTTATGGTTTACTTCCTTCCACGACTGTCCGCCTGCATTTATACAAGTTGATGTTCGGCAAAGATCATTTGTATCCATGGCAGATGGATTCTCAGAATAAATACATCATAAGTATAGGAGTTTCATATTTAGTTGTTTTGCTTTCTGAACAGTACCATCATCACTTTATAGTGACAGTATATCTGCGCAAGTCAGTTTAACAGTAATTGCTTCAGAAAGTCAATACAGTCCTAACGGCTGAATATATATATCCTCAAACTGGGTTGAGTCAATTTGTTAAATGCAATAGAAATAAAGTGCCTCTCATATGGCAGATTAAATCCCTTTGTACTGCCAGGCTGTCAAATATTTTGCCGACATGCCATATCTGTTTAGAGTCTCTCTTTTAAGCACAAGTTATATCATTCAGGGAGGTTTTTTCATCTTATTCTTTAAAAAAAAACGTTTTTATTGTTTTGCCATCATTTTTCAACATAACTAGATGTTGAGAGCTTTCCAGCTGTGAGAAGAAGTGCAGGGTTTCTTATACTAACATGGCCTGGCTTTATTTATCTGATATACCAATCAATCCTCACTGAGACACTGTGCGTTGCATTGCTCTCCAACCATTAACAGAAATAATCACCCATTTGGAAAAGTCACAGTAACCAAGTTGCTCTATGACCATGTGGCAAACAAGGTGATCCCTTTATGTGTACCTGCTTTGTCTTTTGGGGCATTCACCCTCTTGCTTACATGTATCCACTGCAGATAGTATTCTCTTTTTTTCCCCAGTCTTCAGAGTAGATATTTCATCCACTCGGTCAGAACATAATGATAGTTTTAATGGAAATCACGAGAAACCCAGAGCGGTTGTGTAGTCCATTCAGAGAGAGATGATGATGATGATGATTTGCTCAGTTGCGTGGACATGGTGTTTGCCTCCCGCTGCCTGGAGTCTCATCAAATCACCAATCTGCCTAGACAGGTTATCAGGCCAGTTTGGTACGTACAAAACAAAATGACCCATTAAAGAGTGAGTTTGGCACTGCGAGGCATGGTGCTACATTTCTGTTGACAAGCCATCTCAGAGTCCTCATTATAGGACATGGAGACCGACCATATTCATTTAAATAAGATGTGCAAAATTGAATACAGCTGCTTTGAATTAGTTTAAACGTGGTCATAATGGTTGTAGTACATTATAGAGTGATGTTAGCTACTCATGTAGGGCCTTTTTTCCTTAGACGAGGAAATTCCACTCATATGTAAACTTGTGGGGGTGCTTGGATTTATCACTCTATGTGCAATAAGTAAAGTTCAATTTGGACCTTAATGCTTGTTGTGTATAACTTTTGCAATAAGTAAAGTTCAATTTGGACCTTAATGCTTGTTGTGTATAACTTTTGATGCGAGCAAGATGATAGGCTATTAAATTCAGTATAATAAAAGAATGTCAAATACTTTTTGATGTCCCAATGTATCGCCGGAAAAGAAAGATTCTATTATCAAGATATGAAATTCAAGTGCCCTGGTAGTCATCTGCCAATGTTGGTTTCAAAAATAGTTTGGTATGAATATGAGTTGAGTTTGTGGGTGAGACAAATCCTTTTTTGATATGATAAAACTAGAATGGAAGGCCAACGGTGCATTCACGTGTTCCTCAGATTGTCCCATATCCGAATTTGAAAGTCATTTTTCCACTTTGGCGTGTCCATGAGCTTTAAATTGACAAAGAAAAAGGGTTGTTGTTTCGACTTAAGGGGGCATTCACATGGATTTTTTCATCAATGCAGCAAAAATGGCCTACAGAATGAAAATGTAACATCATGATTGTGTCTACCCCTTGATTTGGATCTCCAAATGCGTTAAATGGGTTCTTCTTTGCCAAAATTACTCACTTCTACCAAGTTTTAAGAAAACAAAAAAAGTGTTTTTTCTTAATTCATGTTTTATACATGCTTTTATGTTAAAAAAGCTCTTTATTTTTCTCATACTGCCTGTGCTGCAGAACCACTTTCACCCTCTGTCTGAAACCAGAGATCAGTCAATCAATGACCTGTGACTGAAAGTGTAACATCATGAGTGTGTCTACCCCTTGATTTGCATCTCCACCAAAATGAAATGGGTTCTTCTTGGCCCAAATGACTCACTTCTACCAAAGTTCAAGAAAAAAGGACAAGTGTTAATCCGACTGACAGACCAACAAACCAAGCTGGAAACATAACATCCTACTTTTATTCTCTCTACTGATGTATTTGGTTTGTTTCTTAAATCGTTTCACCCCTCTTTTCCCACCAGCACCTGGTGCGCCTCCGCAGCTAGTGACAGTGTTGACAGTCGGGAGCCACAATAGCACGTCCATCAGCGTGTCATGGGACCCTCCTCCCTCCGACGAGCAGAACGGCATCATCCAGGAGTACAAGGTAGGATCAAACTGCACCTGATACCAAACTGAATATTTTAGTCTTGTGCTCTACGACGTTACAATGAATTCTGTCTGCCGTGTCTGTCTTTGTCAGATCTGGTGTCTGGCCAACGAAACCCGCTTTCATGTCAATAAGTCTGTGGACGCAACCATCCGTTCAGTGGTGGTTGGGGGGCTGCAGAGCGGAGTACAGTACCATGTGGAGGTGGCTGCCGGCACCAGCGCAGGGGTGGGGGTCAAGAGCAAACCCCAGCTCATCATCTTGGGTAATCCACTCACTCACACACATGCACCAAACCTGGAGTCAAATGAAATGACCTCCTAATATGGGACCGGGGTCTCCATCACAGACTGTGGGGGGGGGTCTGGGAAAATGATTTAGCAATTTATTGCACATGAAGAAAGAAGATTGCGCTTTACAACGCACACGTCTTCGGAGAAATCAATCGCAGTTCATTAAGTGTAGTGTCTGGTAACACTGTGCCAAGTACTGTTAGCCATATCAATAATCTTCTTCAATATGTGGGCAGCTGGTGCTAACAAAGGAGACAGTGTTTTTGTTGGAGCTTATCAGCCTATCACATCTTATAAAATACCTAAAGGATGCCCGGAGTATATAAGCCAAGAATCAATATCAGACTCCGCGGCCAGATGCTCTTCAACTGTGACTTTTGACTGATATATAATAACACCCTTAACGCACAGAGAAAGGGAAATATACAGGCCGATGGACTCAGGCTTAATGACGGGAGGGTGGGAAGGGCGGGGGGGGGGTTCCTGCTGGAGACTGTGAATCTAATTTCACAGCACAGTAGCCGCAACAGGAAAATCAAACTCTGTCAGAGCTGCTCTGTCAATCTCGTGTCTTGCAGCTCAAGTTGATAAGTGCACTGCTGAATTGATTTACTCTACTACATATTGGATGCACTGATGCTGTTTCCATTGTGTTTTCTTTTCCCTTTTGCTTTAACCCCTGCGTGTTTGTGTTTTTTTCTATCCTCTTTTAGTTCTAGTTTCATGCGTTTTTAATATACAGTAGACTCATAATTGGCCCCGGAACAATGCTTATTTTGCTTTTATTGAATGTATAATTTCCTGAAGTGAGTTTCCTGGTGAGTTAGCCAAAACACAGAACCCATTCACGCAGTGAGACTAACAATACTGGTAGTTGTGTTGTTGTTATTTTTTCATTTTCCTCCGCTATCAGATATTTATCCTTTTTTGTTCACATGTCAGGCATGTTTTGGACCACAGTGGAAATGAAATTGATTTTATATTCATCCCAAATTATTTTCACGCACAGCAGCTTGGATTATAATGATTTGTTCATTTGTCTCTCCTGTCTGTGTGTGTGTGTGTGTGTGTGTGTGTGTGTGTGTGTGTGTGTGTGTGTGTGTGTGTGTGTGTGTGTGTGTGTGTGTGTGTGTGTGTGTGTGTGTGTGTGTGTGTGTGTGGTGTGTGTGTGTGTGTGTGTGTGTGTGTGTGTGTGTGTGTGTGTGTGTGTGTGTGTGTGTGTGTGTGTGTGTGTGTGTGTGTGTGTGTGTGCTGTGCCCCCAGGTGGAGAACTGAGGGACGTTATGACGGGATCGGAGGGCAACAATAGCATCTCAGACGTGGTGAAGCAGCCGGCCTTCATCGCCGGTTTGGGGGGGGCCTGCTGGATCGTCCTCATGGGCTTCAGCGCCTGGCTGTACTGGAGGAGGAAGAAGAGGAAGGGACTCAGCAACTATGCAGGTAAGAAAAAGAAAAAAATCTGTTTACGTTGTTCTGCACCAACACAGAATCTCCCAATTGGCTGATGTCATCCCTTATTTGAGTTGGCTAAAATGGAGAACAATGGGGAATATATTCAGCACAGATAGAGAAAAAGGCCCTATTTACTTTAATTCACTGCGCAGTGATGTGCATCAACTCTGAGTTCCATCAGCAGCGCACCGCCACAGCCTAATACATTCATGCGAGATAAGTAATTTAACATCCCCTTCCATTACTAGACCATGGCTGGTGTTGTTTGCACATTAACACGAGGCACGTCTGGGTTTACGTATGGGATAATATTTTATCCCTCCGTGAGTCAAGCATATAGCGGTGAGCTATTATCATAATGTGTATTGCAGTGAGTCAGGGATGGAGCGCAGTGGTTTCTGAATTCAATAGGGATTTACATGATTGAGTGCTGCTTTTCTGATCCTTTCTTTCACAGTTTAAAACCAAAACACCACTTTTTTAGGGGGAAATATAGCAATCTATGTACAGGAATGGTTAGGATGTAACATATCCTAAGATATCATTTATATAATATTTTTTTAACATTATTCACTTTTATTTTTACAGCTTTTTAAGACATCTGTCATGCTACATTTTGTATTTATGAAGAAAGAAAAAAATGGTGTTGATGCCTGAGGGCAAAAGGGGTCAAATGTCTCGCCCTCATTTCACCTTTATCCCTCAAGGTAAATCAGCATAATTCATAAAAGGCTGGAATGTGTAAATATAATCTATGCTGACATACTGTCAGTGATAAATTACCAAGCAAAGCAAAAAGTGAAAGAACTGCTCCTGCTTTAATGAGTGTTTTTGAGCATGTTAATATGGCTGCTTTTTTCTTCTATATCATTTTTGACACTTTATTCTTCTCTTTTGAATTCACAGTTCAGTCCTTCACCTTCACTCGTGCAGGTATGTCTTTACATTGTGCAAAATAACATGGCAGTAATTACGCCTTTTCCACATTCTTGACAGCAGTAATGTATCAGTCATTCAAATTGATGGCAGGGCTGTACATTTTTTGATGAAATAATTGAAGTGATTTTTCTCTCCTCCCCTTTTCCCCCTTAAAGTCACATTCCAAAGAGACAGAGGCCTCATCAGAAATGGAAGGTAAGAATCCAAATGAACTTTTAAAACGAAGAAACCTCACAGTGAGAGCTGTCCATGTGACATTTCACCGCCATAATGCTCGGCCTATTGTAATGAAGACTTTTTTCACGTTGAAGCAAATTAGCATACAGGCTCCAATATCCCCGCTGTTACTCGTTTCAGAGTACGATTTGCCCTGACGTACGCTTGATGAAATCATTAATCACTCCTTCGAGGTGAACGCTTCCAATTAATGCAGGTGAGGGTTGTGTTCGCTGGCTCTCTGTCAGTTCAACAGAGGTTGTTGGCAGAGCGAGGGGTCGTTGAAGGGTGTGCTGATAAATGTGTTATAATGGCATAATAGTACAATGTGTTGGGTCGTGTGTGGGCATGGCGCAACAAAGGGAGCCTGAGAAGGCTCTGTCCCCCCAGGGTCGGTGCTTGGTCCTCTGAGGAAATGACAGGAGGTTGGTGTCTGAGGAGTGGAGACGGAGTGTGGTGATGGAGCAGGTCCCTGAGGTAGGAGGGGGCCTGGAGATGGAGGGCTTTGTAGGTAAGGAGGAGGATCTTGAAATGGATGCCTTGTGGAAGAGGGAGCCAGTGGAGGTTCTGCAGGACAGGGGTGATGTGGTCATGGGAGCGGGTGAGGAGACGTGCGGAGGAGTTTGGATGGTGTACCACAGAGGATGCATTAGCAATAGTCTATTCTGGATTAAATGAAGGCATGGATGAGGGAATATACTTTTGAGGTGGAAGAAGGCAGTTTTGGTGATGTGCTTGATATGGTTTTCAAAGGAGGAGTCACTGTCGAAAATGACTCTGAGGTTGTAGATATTAGAGGGGAAGGAGAGAGAATGGAATTGTCAATGGTGAGGGAGAGATCGTTATTGTTTTTGGAAACAATAACGTATGTAACTAAGTACATTAACTGAAGGACTTTACTTAAGTACCATTTTTAGGTACTTGTACTTTACTTAAGTATTTCAATGTTATGCTACTTTATGCATAAGGGAAATAATGTTTGTCGACAGCAGTAAAATGCAACAATATTAAAATGTCATATATATATAAATATAATTACACATAAAGGCAATGCACAATGATGACTTTTACTCTTTATATTTTAAGTACATTTAGCTGACAATACTTTAACTTAAGAAATATTTGTGCATGCAGGACTCTTACTTGTAATGAAGTGGTTGGACAATAATGTATGGGTACTTTAACTCAAGTAAAGCATCTGAATACTTCTTCCACCTCTGCTTTGAGAGTCCACACAGCAGCCAAGAGAATGATAACAAAAATGCCAGAAGTAAACCTTGCCTTTGTATTTGTTAGTATCAAAGTGTACAGGAGAACAATTGCTTTGCAGGAAGGGAAAGAGTGAAGGTCCTCTGCTTTTTCTTTTCCCTCCTTTTGCCTCTTTTCCTTTTGTCACACCTTAACAGGCAGATAAGCCCAGAGCTAGAACAAATGTAGCAAATAATGGACTAAAAATAAACACTTTCTCTCCCCGTTTGTTTGCGTGCTTCTCCACATACGTGTTAGTGTTGGCACGTGTTCTTCAAAGCAAATGTATGTAAACGCTTGCGTATTCTAAAATGGAAATTATTGATGTAATTGTTTGAACACCTTTAAGCCATCACCAAGTCAGCTATGAAACAATTCCCTTGGCATTTGGCGAATCAACCCCGGTGGAAAAATTCACTGTGTAGCTGCACATTAAACAAACATATGCGGACAGGGTGTATGTGAGTGTTTTGCCGTTTTTGCAGCAGCTGATAAGAAGTGGTTGTAAATTGCCTCTTTTTTTCCTCCTCCTCCTCTTCTTTCTCCCTAAATTGCCGCCCACAACTTTTCTACCTTGAAGTCAAAGCCTGCATTCATGCTCGTTGTATTTCACTAAGACAAAATGACACGGTAGCTTTCCTAAACCACCTAATGGGCTTTTGCTGTCTCTGTTGCTATGGAGACGGTGCACCACTGTAGCCGATCTGCCAGAGGCTGTCCATGATTCTCAATTTAAAATGTAAATTTCTGTTGTGCTAAGGCTCTAAAGTGGATTTAGTGTGTATTTAGGCCTGCCTTGTTTCTCCGGGGAGAGTTAGGAGTGCTGGAGTTAAGGGGTGAAAGAAGTCTGATTTATAGACTTGCCATTTTATGTCTCTCTGTTGTTTATTGTCGCCTCTTCGCCCAGGCTACTCCACAGGCGAGAATATGCTGAATGAGTTTTCACATCAATTTGTTGTTGATGCAGCAGGAAGAAAATGAGCCGTACTGTTACGATGGAGGCTGGATATTTAACTACGTCTTCTTGTCTTTGTCTCTTCCCAACAAACATAATCTCACAGCCGACCAGGGCTGCTGAAAGCGGGGGACCAAGGCCTCCCCTGGTTGGCTGACTCCTGGCCCTCCACTAGCCTCCCAGCTAACGGCTTAGGGAGTCCCAAGGGCGGAAGCAACTTTGGCCGAGGAGGTAAGAAACCAGTAAACAGGCTGTGGGTGTTGGGAAAATACGGTTCTAGCAATGCCTGGTCAGACAGTTTTGATGCTCATCCGTTGGGAAGCGCAGTGACAGGACATCACAAACACACAAACACACACACGCAAATTAAAAAACAGCCTCTGAGGGCTATATTTCACTAATTAGCTATGACAAGGGTGATATTTCGCCGTGTTTCTCACAAACCCTCCCTTTTTTTTTTCCTTCTGGTTTTATGGGATCGAAGTGCTTATCATGTATTTGCATGTCCTCTCAGCTCATTGGAACCCCGCTGAGCTGCAGGCTTTTTGTTTGTGGGAGAGTAGAGCTGAAGGTTAGCGCTGTTTGAATACCACTCTGGTGTACGCTCCCACCGGGCCCCCACAGCGCGTTGCATGCTAATTGTGCTAGTAGATAATCACTTTCATTTATATCAAGTCCATTTGAGATCTGTATTTAACTAATACCGAGTGCCAGAGCAGCAGGAAGCGCTAATGACCTTAAAGATCGTTAACTTCGTGTCAACTTATCTCTCCATGATCCCCTCTTCTCCCCCATCCTCGCTCTGTCGCTCTCCTCTTTTGTCTCAGATGTTTTACCATCCGCCGCCGTGGAGAAGACTGGCACCATGCTGTCTGATGGTGCCATCTATAGCAGTATTGACTTCATGGGGAAGGCAGGGTACAGCAGCCCGGCGCGAGGCATCCAGCCCACCCCCTACGCCACCACTCAGATACTCCAGTCCAACAGCTTCCACGAGCTGGCTGTGGACCGACCTGATCCCCGCTGGAAGGCTTCTCTCCAAGCCCAGCAGGAAATGGCAAACCTCGGCTACTCGCTGACTGACAGGCGCCCTGGCAATGGTATGTTGAAGTTCAGTTTTAGTTTGTTCATGCTGTGATGTTTTCACTCTTGTGTATGCAACTTGGGACTCAGTAAAATAACAGCAAGGGGGTTTGTATTCTATGACTTTAAGGGAGTTGGCAAAGGAAACCAGAGAAAGAGCAAAATGAAAAAGGAGGGAATTTATGTACATATTCACAGCAATGGACCCCCTAGGATAATGTTCCTTAATTACCCTTCTGTCTTCATCACAATTCTACCCCAGGAGCTCATCTAGCCCAGAAATGTCACCCAATCATGACGCATTTCTCTGGGTTAACTTGATTAGCGATGGCGGAAAAATCCCTCAGTGTTCCGAGTTTTTTCATGCAGTGTATATACATTAAGGGAAAACATTTTTTGTTGTAGCTACGCACAATAGCCTGTGTGCTCAGCTAAATGTCAGGCTTACCGCAGATAAAGTAGAGCGAATGGGGAAGCGACTTAAAAGTGGTTTGCCGCAGGTTTTCGTGGCTCTTTAAGGAAATGTCAACATTTAGAAAAAGTCCTAATGCGCTGTCAACACACAAAAAAAAAGAAGAAATAATGAACACTGGCTGCGAGACAGGATTGAGAAAGTTCAGATAAAAGATAGCTTTCAAGGTATGTGTTTGTGATTTCAGTGTGTACAGGGATTTCTTCGCAATGTGTAGACCTACTCTTCACTTACCTCCCCCCAGGTGCAAAGGTCGGGAAAAAAAAGAAGGTGAAGGGTGGGACAAAGGCCTCTAAATCAAATGGGACGTGCTGGGCGAACATGCCCCTGCCTCCACCACCCATGCACCCCCTCCCTGGTACCGAGGTTGACCTTGAGCGCTACCCCCAGGATAACCACGGAGGAGGGTAAGATACATTCATATCTCATCAATCTCTGCCCCTAGAACGGATGCACACAAACACGAAAAAAAACACGTTGAAGGAAGAAACACATGCAAGTACAGAGGTCACAGTATCCTGCACCTGTGGCATGTGTGTGTGTGTGTGTGTGTGTGTGTGTGTGTGTGTGTGTGTGTGTGTGTGTGTGTGTGTGTGTGTGTGTGTGTGTGTGTGTGTGTGTGTGTGTGTTCCATAGTTCACACAATGGTGAAATAGACCAATAGCTGCCTATTTTCCTGATAATGAAAACCCCCAAATAATGCTTTTTCCTTTCCTATAGTGTGTTATCTAGGTTTGAGTGCATGTAAATGGTCTGCAAAGTCTACAATCCCAAAGTTCTCTCCTACACATCCCCCTGCCTGATACACCTCGATTAGACTCCTTTGATTACTTCCGGGACATAATGACATCACTACTGTATGTAACACTAACCTTCTATTGGCTAGCGCTCTAACACATTGTACGTGATAGGCTAAGAGGCGTGACATCTCTCAGCTGTTGACCCATCACAAGAGATACATCGATAGATCTGAAAACTATCAGTTGATTAATCAAAAATGAAAAGAAAAGTTAGTTGCAGCCCTTAAACTTAGCTGTTTTTGTATTTAACTTTCCAATGGGAGAGAACCTGATTTTGATCATTTGCATCTGTTTTTTAGACATACATTTAAAGATTATTAGGGAATGTATTTAAAACAAACATGTGACTTCAGACATTTGGTCCAACTCTCAAGAAAAGTCATTTTTTCTTCAAGTCTAGTCATCATTTTGGCAATTTACTCTTAAATCTTGAAATATTTCCCGTCCTGTTCGACAATATGCAATCAGCTGTTCAACAAAGTCAACGATGATTATTGACACATAACACATTTCTTCTACATGCCAGATATGACAGCAACAGTTGGGCCCCTCCAATGTCTGTCCAGACCTTCCGCCACCAGGGTTTGGACAACGAGGAGGAGGATGACATAGGTCCCACCCCCCCGCTGAGAGGAAGATCTTCCTCGCCAGCGACAGCTTCCTTCAGCCAACCCTCGTCTTCCTCTCTCAGCTCTACCCACCACGACGAAATGCAATCCATTTTGCAGGCCCATCTGGATGAGCTGACCAGAGCTTACCAATACGAGGTGGCCAAGCAGTCATGGTAAGGAACCTTTAGAACCAAAAGCTAACTACATTTTGAGCCAATGGCATTACATTTAATTTAGCTGTCGCTTTTATCCAAAGAAAACAAAGCAATAACCCTGCTACTACATTATACATCAATACATCAATCAATTAAAACTGTATTTAAATATTACGTTTTGTGACGTTTTAGAATAAAATACAGCTTAAAAGACCACTACATGTACAGTATGGCAGCCATTCCATTCCAGTGTTTGTAGAATTCCAACACAGAAATGTTTTCAGTAGTTTATAGAAACTGATAATGCTGCAGTGGTCTCTTATTATTTTCCAAAGCTGTAAATACATATTTATATAAACACAAGTTGAAGTCAAAATGTGTCCATCTAGGCACACAGGATGTGTATTGGCACAGGAAGATATATATATTTTTTTTCTTATGATAATACTTATTATAATTTGTATGATTATTATTAGCTATCAATAAGCCAAACCTTTCTAAGTCCTACTTACAGAAGAGAGATTTTTTTTTGTCAAGAAGTCGGAACAGGTGGGTTTTTAGTCAGTATTAGATTATGTTTCTTTGTTTAACCTGTTACGCACCGCCCCCCCGGTACCGGGCGGATAAACACGTCATTTGCAGGAAACAACGTCTAAGGAATCTTAATATTTAATAAACTATGAATGTTTTATATCCATGTAACGGGAAGAAACTCAGCTAACTGATCTTTTTAATTTTTTTTTTCAAAAAAAACCCACAATGCTAACACTCAGCCTCTGAATTACCCACGAGCGAAAAAATGTAACCTAAAACTGCATCTAAACTCACTCATAACTCCCTTATTACTTATCCTAGATGCACAGCCAACCCCTCGATTAGCATCTCCTGGAGACACAGAATCGTTTGGTGCCCACCTCAACACTCAGTGATAAACATTTGCTACGCTATAAACGAAAGCGTACATCAGAACATGTGGAGCTAGGTAGCTAGAAACGCTAACATGGTTTACCTTGGTCAAAACTGGTCTTCAATGGCATTAAAACGATAAAAAACGATGCTGCAGTTAATCCATAGGTTAATCCAATGTGTCTGTGTCCTCTTTGAAATGATTTCTGATAATCCATAAGCAATAAAACTGATTTTTCGTTTCCAAATGTCAGAGCGAGAGATAGCTTCACTCTGGTGCAAACCTGCATGCGGGAAGCCCCCACCGTTTGGTTTCACAACGAGTGTGTGTGGGGGCCTCCCCCTTCGATTCTATTGGCTCTAACGGTCAGAAAGAGGTGTCAACCATCAAAATCGACCAAGGGGGGGCCAGAGATATGGAAAAAAACATTTTCACCCAAATCACCTCTCTAAAAAGGTCAAATGTCACTTGTTTTGCAGCAATCTTGATACAGGGTACTTATTATATGTTGTACTTTGGATTCCTAAAGCTTTTAGTCTACTAACCCATCATCCAAGGGTAGTTTCCACTATAAGTAAAAAATAATTTTTGGACGGACACTATAATTTACAGTTTTTTACTATGTAAAATCTGAATTTTCTTTAAAATAAAAAACATCTATATTGATTCTGACACTTCTACATCCAACTCACAGATGTAACCTTGCTTTGATAAAAGAAATTATTCATATAACCCTTTTAGAAGTTAAGTTGTAGTCATTTGTTTTGGGCATGTCATTTTCAAGCCTGAAACATGAAAAACAGGCTTGGTGCTTAACAGGTTAAGATAAAGACCCTTTTTGTGACTCTTAGATCATTTGAAAACGTAATGTGTGTATCCATCTGAATAACGTTCAAATACATTTGCTCTGCACAGTAGGAGATATACCTGTAATTGTATTCATTGTATGCTGTAAGTTTGAGTTTTGCATATCAATAGCCGATGTTTGAGCGTCTTACAATACTGTTATTAACATGTGTCAGTCCCGATCCTGCGCTCCATGTTTCTTGCGGGCGATAAACACAGCTCTGCATTGATTGCACCTTTTGATGGAACATTGGAAAACTTGACAAGTCAGGGGCGACACGTGTTGGAGGGTAATGACTGGGTTTAGTCTAACATACTGCTCTGACATCAGTAAATAGAGTTGGTAATTATGCATGCATCTCCTCTATGGCGGGATGTGAGCCATCATGGAGGACAGCTGTGGGGGAGATAAGAGGCATGTTGGTGACAGCCTTGCCCATCCTGATATCCTACATCCAGCCCAATTACAACTGCATTGTGTGAGCAACACACACCGGAACAGAGAAACTAATCAGTGGAATCACTTCAGGCATTCATAGTCTGCACATTGCATCTTTACTATTCTGAATATGCACTAATTTTGCGTTATGTAACCTGTTTTAGAGTATTTACCTGACATTCATTGCTTTTTTTAAATGTATTTTGTGTCCATTAATACACAGTATTTCCCCACAATTAATTAGGCACATGAAGGGCAGTCCAAACGTGTCCACCACCCCCGTCCCTCCGATGGACTTCATGTCCAGCACACTGGGCTCAGATCTGGGAGCGACTCTACTTTCTGAAGAAGACGAGGATATGGAGGAGGAGGAAAGATATGCTATGGTGTCAAAGAATTTGTGTGGCTTTGAGTACACTCCTGGTCACAGCGTGGATCATCTTGACGGCTCAGGTATGTTTGCATGTGGAAGAAGGAATTTGACTGAAGTTATTGCTTTTCAAATTAGTTCAAGTACCTTGCTCCAACACCACATCATTTCTGCTGCACAACATATGATGCAACATTGAGAAATGTTTCCAATGCAGCAGTAGATTATATAAATAATATGATAATCAAAACATGAAGGAGCAAACATAGGGATATGGGCATGTGTAACCATATGTTATGTATAAATACATGACAATACATACATTTCACTATGAACTTCTGAATGTTTAAAGTATGAAAAGTGGATGATATAAGTATGACTACAAGTAGATTTGTACCACATAGTTGACAAAGGAAGTTATATTGATACAACACCTTACCAAACTATTGAAAAATCACAGTGAGTCTGGGGGTCCGGAGGGTCCAAGGGCCAAATCATCGCAACATGCGGATTTAATTTATGGCTGTATTTTGATGTATTGTTATTAAAAGGACACATTGCTATCTATCCAAGGGTGTCACTAATAAAATCTGCACCTCATCACTTGTATTAAGTTGTAGATACTGAGTACACATATTTGAAAATATAATTTATCCTTTTTTCAACTAGGTCTATAAATAACATTTATTTTGTGGTTTATTTCATGATCATTTTCTGGATTCATGGATAGGTTGTTTGGTCAATATATTGTCAGAAAATAGTGAAAACATGGTCCCCAATTCAAAGGTGAGGTCTTTAGAATATCTTGTTCTTTAGACCAAAATTCATAGATATTCCGGTAAATATGATATAAAACAGAGAAGAGCAGGAAATCTCCACTTGAGAGGATGAATACAGCATTTTTTTTACTTAATGCATTAAGATAACACTTTAACCATTAATGGATTAAGGAAATAGTTGATGACTTTTCTTCCGTCAATAAACAAATCCATAAGTCAAGTAAGTGTTGCAGCCCTAATGACTCTAATGCTATTCCTAACAAAGCCTTTTAGCTGCCATGCACAGGTATTCCCGGCAATAAAATATTGCAAAAAGACATGGATTTGAATGTTCAAAAATATTTTCCAGTGTATTGCAGAATTGTCCAATATCAACCCTCTTGTCTGCCAATAGGGTTTGGACCGCTGGGGCAGCAAACACTGTGCAGTCTGTTGGCCGGCTGAACTATCACCTACAGACACATTGCATAGTACAAAGACCAAGGCACACAATGGACCATTAAACTGCATATACAAGCCCCCACTGACACTTGTCTAGGGGTTGTTATTAGGGATAATACATAACAGATCAGGAGTGTGTTTATGTAGACAGCAGCCACAGTGATTGACACTAACAGGTTATATAGAAAAGTTGGTAAAATAGGAAAAAGTTTTCTAGGCTTAATAATTATTCACACTTCCTATCTTAATCATATACCCTTTTCCTCTGTAAGTTGTCTTTGTCAAAGAGATATTCAGACAGTCTGTGAACAGTTGCTTGAAGCCATTCTTGCATAGACATCAAAAGCAAAACATAGAATATGTTAGTGCTCTTCTTGAAATAAAAAAGCCCACGTCTAACATTTAAGATTTGATGCATTTATAAATAGGGTTCTGTCTGAAAGTGTTTCTTTAGAGAGAAACTTGAAGGCTTTTCCCACAGGGACAGAAGTGTACCATTTTTAGACTCCATTGTTTGATGGGTTAAGAGATTGACTTGTGCATAGAGAATATGTGTTTTCAATACTTTTAATAACCCGTTGCGGGGCATAATACAGGTCACACAAACATTAGCAATGCAAACATTTATTGTGTCATGTTTAACTGTCAAGGCAGAGAAAATAGCTTCAGTCCAGTGAAACAAATCAGGAACAAAGCTGGTGCGTTGGCAGTATTTCCACAGGGGATGCCATTAAGCAGTTGTGCATTTATTCTTTTAATAGCATGTTAATAAAAACGTATTTCCATGATGTCTGATTTAAATTGCTGTTGTATGGAACTTAGTACAACGGGCTGCTTTAATGCTGCAACAAAGATAAAAGTTCTTCAAACCCTCTGATTAAAGCATTAACTTATTTTCTAACTAAATATGCAACTAGTTTGAAGAAGTTAATTCTACATAGCGTGCAATTGAAGTGCTGTGAATCTTCTTTTAAAACATTACCATATGTATGTAAACAAGTTTGGCACAATATCTAGGAAAGAATCTGATTTCTTTCTTTCTCCTCCTTTTTTTCCAATTTCGAAACCACTAGTGGATTGCTTTGTACATCCACATTACTCTTTGGTGTCTAGCTCAATCCACTGGGTGTGAACCAAATATGTGTTCAGGCACACTTAGCCAAATATTAATCAAAGGCGACGTATGATGAAAAACTCACATTTGAAGTGCTTACACTTATTGGTTTGTATACACAAACATTTGTTTATCTAGAGTGCCTACCAACCCATTAACTGAGAAATAAGACTAGCAACAAAGAATCTGCATATTTTTTATGCAAATTAAGTATTAAGTATGAAACCTAAATATAGCACAATATGTCCCCTTTAACTCCCTCTCTGAAGGTAAAGCTAGCAGAAGTCATGCTTAGGCAAATCTTCATTAAAGGAGACGTTTTATTAAAGACTAAGTGATTACATTTATTTGTTTGTGTACAAATACTTGTGTACTTGACGCGCCTATCAACCCACAAACTGAGAAATAAGACAAGCAACAAAGGAACCGAAGGTTTTTTTGCCAGCCAATCAGAGAAAAACTACTTTTTTTGTAGTGCATCTTAAAGAGACAGGCACTTAAACTGAGTGTTTAAGACAGAGGGTGAATAATGGTATATTCAGACGGACAGAATGAGAAAAATAAAGTGTTTTTGAACAATATAGCATACAAAATTGTTCTATTAGAAACCCCAAATACAAGTCTGACATTTGAAAATGTGCTTAATATGTCCCCTTTAACTCCCTCTGTGTAGGTCAAAGCTCTCAGAAGTGTCGCTCTGACAGCTCCGGCTCAGCAGACCCCGGCGCACAGAGCACTCACAGCCTCGGCCACAAGAGGGCAACGTTGACTGGCCTCAAACCACAGACTGGCAAGGTTGGGACTCTGCCAAGACGAAGAGACACCAACAAAGACGGTGAGTTGAGTCTTTTGCACTCTCAGCCAATGTTTGCCAGAGTATCCTCCGTTGTAGTTAATCCAGCGAGGAGTGCTTCTATCATGATGTCTCATTTGTGTACTTTGCCAAATCTACCATCCACTCCACAGCCCACACACCGGCCGCAAATTCCCTGCACAGTGTGGGTTCCCGCATGCACAGCTCGTGGGCAGCTGCGGCCTCAGACCCCTCTGAGGAGTGCATGGTGACCGTGTCGACGCTAGAGCGGCAGCATATGGCTTCCTGGAGCGGCACAACAACATCCAACAGGGCCACCCTGAGTAGGGGCTCCCACAAGAGACCTGGCACAGATCCCTCCCACAACGGGCATCCGTCCACCAACAGCACAGAGAAAAGGGAACACTGTAGGTGTTAGTCCTCCGTGAGGATGTGTTTTTGTGTACAAATTACACATGATGATTGTTTTCAATATGCTTAATTTAATCAGGAAGTCACAAAATATAAAACAATAACAGAATGCATATGAATAGACAACAGCTTAACACCATGCTTACAAATAAATGCTTTCTGAAACATCTTGTGCGTAGGTCTTGAAAGGAAATAAAAATACAAGCTTATTATTACAAACAGTGACACCTAAAACTAATAAAACAACCCATGTTTTAATTACCTTATCGTTATCTCCAGTTTTAGTCTACTCTAGTAATTACTTCTCAGAAAAGAATGTTTTTAATATAATGGTAGTAGGTATTTTATGATGTAGTCGTACTCTTTACCGATGAATTAAAAGAGGGCTAATATCAGTTTACAGACAGGGAGGGCCAGCCCACCTTCTGATACTATATTGGGTGCATTATGGGTCATCAGTAATAAATCTGAGAGCTGAGTGAGAGACAGCGTCCAGATGTTTAAACTCTGCAATAAAAATATTTCCCCAGGGCGACATAGATATACCTACTATCTCTCATGGCCACCGGTGGGAGGTTCCATTCTCAAAGGGTTAAGACTGGAGATAGCAGCATGTCCTTAAATAATCCGACCATTATTCGATACCGAGAGAAAGGTTGCTCCCACAATCCTTTTCCAATAACAAAATAGGAAACATAGGAAAAATAAATCCTGGATTTGCTACATAGGTTGTCTATAAATTAGTTTTAAGGTCATCCAGAAGGATATACTTGAGGAACTTGGTCAAATGTACCATTTTAAAAGCAGAACTGGTGGGTTTTTAAATAGAGAAAAAAGATAAAAAATATTCTGAAGGGTATCAAATGAGAGTAGCACATTACCAATGGCTGACTGGATAATTTGTCAAACTGTACAGTAATCTAAGCAAGTAAGGACATATGTGCATGTTTTATTTCTTTTAAAAGACATTTTTAGAATCCAGTTGTGTTTGGTTAATCCAGATTGTTAAAGTGACAGCCACAAATAACAAGTTTTTGCTATATAATTATGAAATTGTATGGCTTCTCTGTTCTTCGTCAGTTTATAAAGAAGTACAGACAAAAAAATATGTTCCTCTTGAAGCCTGCTGCGACAGTTTCACAATACAGTTAAAGAGACCCTTTTTTGCTCTTTTGGGTTTTCCCTTTTATGTAGCGTGTTATGTAAATGTTCGTGCATGTAAATGGTCTGCAAAGGATAAAATCCCAAAGTTCAGGCCAAAGGGAAATCTCTCACACAAACCCCATCAATTTTGAGCTTGCATTCACCCAGAAATGTATCCTTGGATTGTGAGGTAGATGCATATGTTAGTATTTTGCTTTCTATTTAATGTCTCCCAAGATATTCAATTGTTGTTTTTGGTGTTTCTTTTATTCCAGAGTCTTTGTGAAGCATCATACCCTGCAGATGCTCCCGGGTCCCAGGACACCTTGTTTGTAAGCGTCATGAGATTTTCTCTCTGCGACGAGACACTGAATGATGTTAGGAAGGACGGAGAGGAGACAGAATGAAGACAAAAGGAACAGAGAGCGCGATAAAAATGCAGAGCTGTAAATGTCATGTACAGACACAGACACCAGTCTCACAGTGTTACTTTCATCCCCCTCTTCAAAAGAGTAAAACCGTATGTTGTATGTCCGCTTCTTCTTTTTTCTGTCACAGCGTGTACAAAGATTCACAGAGTGGAGATGAAGAAAAATCACAACAAAATGACTAATATGAAAAAGGACTTGCATAATTTGTAAATATATTTTTTTATGTTTTTTTTTCTCTCTTTTCTTTTGCTTCGCTATGCAAGCCAAACCCAATGTTGTATCTTTTGTGATTTATTACTGTGAATGATTTTCATTAATGCTCAAACTGTTAGCTTATTTTAATGAAGCTACTGTATCGTTGTACTTTGCACAGAGCGTTTTGGTGAAAATAAGCACAAACCCATTGTCAGCTGAGCTGAGGAGGAGAATCATAATGGCAGAGAGGGACGTCTATGATAAACAGAACCGAAAACAGAAGATATATACTTGGCTGCGCTATACTTGTTTTAAAGAAACACATATATTGAGAAGGAACAAAACACAGGTAAATACTTGGAAATAATATGCCAATATATCACTTATCGCTGGGAGATTATTATGCATCATACCTATAATGGTTCTCAACAAATGTTTACCAGTTTATTGGGAACAAAGCAACACAATGTTGCGATTTTAAAAGCAAAGACATAGGAACATAGGGTAAGCGTCTCTGCCATTCACAAGAGTATGTTAATCAAAATATATATGCATTTGTTTTGCTAATTATTTTCCAATTACATACAGTGACATATTGAGTGCAATATTGAATGGGCAATGGGGCAGTAAATAGGGAAATATCCAGGCCAAAAGGCCCTCGAGAATAATGAGATGCAGAATTTAACAATAAGTATATATGAATTTAAAGATGACTTGACCAACTGCCAAAAAACATTTTCCAGTTTTAAAGTCTAGCCAATTAGCATTTTTCTGCCAACGAGATTCACAATGCGACGTCTTGCCACATGTTTGGATGGTTTTTGTTTTGATCATTGTTCTGGTAATGACTACTCTTTCAAGAATCTTTACCTGCCATATTGGTTTGCCCTCAGGAATAAGCAGCCACATACATTTGGGCAGTTTTTCAATCCTTTGATGCAAAATAAAATGTGTATGTGAAAATGAACCAGCGTTCTCCTTACTGTGCCTGTGAGTCTCACACAAATACATTCATCCACTAATCGACCAAAGTCCATTTTTGGGATTTTGAAACTCGTCAAGTAGTTTAGATCCTCAATATTGAAAAGGTTTTAGGTTGCTTTCACTTTTTGATAATATATATGAAATTGTTGTGCAGAAACATTGCATACTTAGGTAATATATTCAACTTTTTGCCACGTCACCCTCTGTGTAACCATTTGTTTAAAAACTTAAAAGGATTTTTTGTTTTCAATTCCTCAAGGGACTGCATAAATCAGAATGAGTAAAGTAATTGCACAAGATAAATGTTATTTTAAGACAACACTAACATTTTCTTTTAAAACACATGGGTCGTTCTGACTTCATTGATCCTATGTGATTCCTTTTCTCAAACACGGCTGACGGCATAAGTCAGATAAAAGATCTGCTCCCTGATAGCTCTAAACGGATTTGATTTAACAGAGTAACATTTGGATCTAACATAATTTGTTGTCAAATAACCATCACAAAGCAGAACAAGATAAAGGTATAAACTGTCTCTCCCTTTCATGGTGCTCCCGATGATTGATGGGATTCATGCTTAACATTTCTTTTAAGTTTGTATGTGTCAGCTCAGCACTGATAGATCCAATCTAAAAGTAGATTTAAATCGCTGTAGATCGGGAGCACCTAAGTGAGATGTTTTATTGTCTCTTGTTTAACTTTGTGATGGTTATGTTACCTGAAAGATTTCTGTAAAATCAAAATGTTGCACTGCCGATTTAAATTAGCAGCGGAACCAATTCCCAAGATTGCAGCTAATCAGGAAAGAGGCCTGAGGACCAGTTCCCAACTAAATAAAAAAGATTGATTTAAAAAAAGTTCATTTAGATAGAAAAGTCTTCTTTAAAAATAAGGAAAGGGGGAAAGAGCTTTCAATGAAAATAAACCAGAAAAACAGCCTGTGGGCATTAGGAAAGTGTTCGGAAAGCATAACTAGTGATGTTACGTATTGCGCCGAGGCTTCGGAGCGTGTGTCGAGTAATCCCGGAAGTTTTTTGTGAAGCTTGTATCGAGGCTTGTATCGTTTTGGGCCAGTGACGTCACCGATGACAAACGAAGCCTCGCTGCCCCCTTCTTTGCCGTGGTGTGCTGGGGTGGAAACACAAACACTAGGGACACTGGCAGGCTGAACAAGCTTGTGAGGAAGGCTAGCTCTGTAGTTGGAGTACAACTGGACAATCTGGAGGAGGTGGCAGAGGGGAGGACGAGGAGGAAGCTCGACAGCATCCTAGAGAACCCCTCCCACCCACTCCACGCAGAGCTAGTGAAGATGAGGAGTACGTTCAGCCACAGACTCATCCCTCCACAACAACGCACCAAGCGCCTCGGACAGTCCTTTGTGCCTGTAGCCATCAGGCTGCACAACAAGGGGTCAATAATGAAAAATAAATACAATTAAATCACTGGACATAAATATACACTGTTTCCACAACCCATGTTAATATATTAGTAGTAGACCAAATAGGTAGATAGATATGTCGATATATATGTACAGATGTCCATTTTCACTTTTCACTTGTCACTTTAACTCATTCCGTACTTCATAACTTAGATGACCAAATATGTATATATGCTGACAGTTATTTTACTCTTATTTTTACTCATCTCCTATTTCATAGTCTTTTATTATTATTATCATTATTATTTAAATGTTTTCTTTCTTGATTTTCTTTTTGATTTTATTAATCTGTGTGAATCTTTGCTGTCCTGTTTTTTCACGCTTACCCTGTTGCTGCTTTGTACAACTGAATTTCCCCACGGGGATTAATAAAGGTCCATCTTATCTTATCTTATCTTATCTTAATACCACGTGACTGCTTCAAAAAGTGCTTTAGATCGGTTTAACCACAACGCTGATATTACCCATGGATGTATAATAAGCAGTGGCAACTGGTCATTAGGGGGCTCATTAGGGGGCTTTTCTGCTGACACTAGGTGGGCAAAGTATTAAAATAATAATTACAAAAAAATGCTAAAAAAATACATCTTAAAATATATGTTACGATCATGTTTAATCATCTGATTAATCTGTACATTGCTGTTTTAGTCTGTGTTCTTCTAATTAGTGTCTACAGTGTGTGCCTATTGAGTCGTTTTGAGCGACGTGGGTCAAGCCCCGATCAAGCCCCTCTTTCTCACTGTCTAAGACTTGGGTGACTGTAAAAACTACACTGCGCATGCTCAGAGTCTTTTTCTATTCAATGTGTGCGGCAACAAAATTATCACCATAGGGGCACTGTGCTGACATACCCACCAAACGTCATCTCACGTCCATCAGAGTTGATTGGCTGTAAGTACGTGTGCCGCGAAAAGTGTAGTGTGTGAAGAGGAGACGAGAGAGGTGCAGTGACGCGTCCTAAAACCAAGAAGTAAGCGGCGCATGGGTTCCCTCGACAAAAAAGCAATGAGATTTTAGAAAATAGCTCGAAATAAGATCTGTGGAAAACGAACCTGTTTGATAAATGCACGTTTTGTTCAGCCGGATAATATCCACATGTCTACCCTACTTTTATAATTTTCGAATCATAAATCTATCGATCATAAATCTATCGATTAGATTTATGATTCGACTTTTGGAACTACAAGAAGATAAGGAGGACTTTTACAAAAAAGTAATAGAGATTTTTTTCCAGAAGGATAGACAAATGGACTTCATCTTCAAGTCAAGGTAAGATCACCATTTTATTGAAAATGGGATCTTACTAAGAGAGAACAATCCAATATTTAAATGATACAATTAAAAAATGTGGGCATCCTTTTGTTGAACTGTCGTTTAAAATTAATCGAAGCATCAGACTAAAAAAGCTTTTGAAAATAATCAAATATTTTGATTTAGGTCAAAATATAATATTTGTAAACCTGAAGAGTCAGTGCCAGTGCCTCAGCAGCCATGAACCTCACTGCACGTCACTGCAGAAGCTTATAAACATCTACGTTCTTTGTGCCCCACCACTTTTGTACATATAAAAACGCCACTGATAATAAGAACGATATTACCCCTCCTGTACCTGGGCCCGGTGACACGATGGAATTAAGAGAGCTCAGACCCTCACATATATTGAGGTCGGAACATGTCATAAGTATAAATAAATAAAAGCATAAATAAATGAAGGAATAAAAACATGAATAAATACAGGAATAAATAGCATGCAGTGTTTTCAGATAGATTCAGTGTGTGGGCTGTGGCCCAGCTGGAAAGCAGTTGACTAACGACCGCAGGGTCCCTGGTTCAATGACTGGTTAATAAGTATTTTTGTTTTTGTTTATAAAAGCTACAGCTAAATTAGATGATGTAGTTAATAAATGTATTATTTGATATGGTTTAGCCTTTCTCAGGCTACAACATGGTTGTAAGGGAATGGGTGTAAAATGACCATTGACAGAGCATCTAGTGCGTTGTTTATTTACCCTTACTTCAGACATTTGTAGACTTTTGGTGGGTCTTGTGAACAAGCTGACTAAGAATGGTAACCACAAAATATGAGTATCTGCAGTCAGATTTTTGCTGTTGACTGTCTTTGGAGGCAACTAGAGTGAGAAGGGTCCAGCTGTAGCCGCAACAAGACGGTACAAACAAACCACGCCCACTTGTACGCGACACTAACCCCAACCCTAACCTAAATAGTATATAAATATATCTAAAACTACAAGACGTTAATTACCTGTGCTCTGTGCTCCATATTGGCTTTTTTCTGCGTTCTCTTTCCATGTCTCTTTAAATATCCATGCATCAACGTCTCACGTTTTGGGCACGCTCTCTTCTGACCATATTTGGAAGTTCAACTTCCTTCAAATTCCTAGAGTGGTAACTGAAGGCCAAAGCCTCATGGTCATCATGGCAACGCCAACACTCTACAGTTTTTACATGTATTTAAAATGTTCTCTGTTTAACATCTACCTTTGCTAGAATCATTCAGAGTCCTCCTGTATTTTCTCTGGTTTTCATAATCTTGACTCCCCAGGTGTATCAAACGGTTTATGGAGGTAACACAAACACTGAGCTAAGGTGGGAGACAGCAATTCATAGCTTTCAATACCCTTACGAAAATTCCATCATCTGTGGCCAAAGAGCATGAAACAAGAAAGAGGAATCTCGGAAGCATCTCGTTTTCCCTTGCACCCTGGTTTGAATATTTTCTCCCTGAACATAAACACAGTGAAAGGGAATAAAAGATGACAGGAGAACACTCTGAAATTCATCCCATTGATGGATTTTCTAGGCTCCCAATAATTACAGAAAGAACTGTGCAGAATCTAACCATGGGAAAGTCATTTCAGAAATAGAGGAAAACTGTTTTTGTGTGTCTGGATCTTTCTAATGCTAAGACCAGTAAAAGCAAGTATTAATTGGAATCTTGCGATAGGTCATTCTATGGACTTTATCCTGGAAAATAATGCTCGGCAGCAATCTCAAGAGCTCCAACATTAGCAGAGTTGGGCAATGAAACCATGTTTTCAACAGCTGGGGAGATAAATAACATGTGTACATGAGTTTAAATTGCAACAGTTCTTCTTCAAGGAACATTTCCTCTCCCTTCTGTTGTGAATTGACCTGAGAAGTGAGTGCGCACTGTTGATGTACAACAGAGTCAAGGGTAGGTTGCATTGAACCATCTGCTGTCGCATTGTATACACCTGCGTCACAATAATTGTACATCTTTGTTTTTAGTGACAGCTGTTGTAATGGAGGACACACGTTTCAATCTGTTCTCAGGGACTTTTGCCATTCAGAATGCCACTCTTTCCATTGAATGGTATCTATACGCTTTGAAGTAAAATCAATCCACCTTGAGGATAAAGGCCGGACCTCTGCAAACAAATAGTAACTTGTGTTCCGATTGCTATCTGAGTGGTACACACTTTCCGGGCCTTGACTATGTCCTTTGCAATGTTTGTTTCATGGTTAAGGTTTAGAAGGTTATTATCAATA